ATCAGCTTGTTAGTTTCTGCAAAATTCCTGCTGGGATTTTGATTTGGATTGCGTTTAATTTATAGATTAATTTGGGGAGATTTAATTGACAGCTTCATAGTGTTGTATCTTTCAATCTATGTACACGACACATCTCTCAGACTTATATCTTTCAGCAACATTTTGAAGTATTTTTAGGTAGAGTTCTTGCTCATCTTTCCTTAAGTTTATTCATAGATATTTGATTTATTTTTTATGTTAAAAGTGGTATTTTAAAAAAATTTTCATTTCCAAGTGCTTGCCACTAGTATATAAAAGTACACACAGTATTTGTGTATTGACCTTGAATTCTACAACTTCATAAACTCACCAGTTAGTTTCAGTAGTTTGTAGATTTTGTTGAATATTTTTTATATAAAATCAAGTCATTGGTGGTGGCTGACAGTTTTATTTCTTTCCAATTTATATGCTTGTTTCTTTTTATTATCTGATTGGAGCATTCAGAGGTTATTTTTGATGAATTACTAGGTTAGTTTTGAATTGGAGTTATCGTTTCTGGTTTTAATCAGAAATGTACATTATACTGGAATTTGGTGTCAAAATATTTTACATCATAATTGAATTGAAGGAGGGCGGTTAAATGTTGCTTTTAGTTGGGCTAAATTAACTGGAAAAGTCTGTTTTGGAGGTAAAATCTGGATTTCTTGTTGAATATAATCAAATTTTCCTTGAGATAGCTGTTGGTAAGGTTGACTGCAGTACCCAGAATCCAGGGTTAGGACTTTCATATACACATAAAGAGAATATTTCAGCTTTCCATGCAGGCTTGAGAAAGGCATTCACCTCTCATCTTCTAGACTTCTCCTTTTTCTTTGTTTTAGCCTTAACTTTGTTATAGTCGGCATTTCTTCTAGCAAATCAAGCTCTTCTGTATATTATTATATTACTCATTTCAATTTGAAGCTTTTGGTGTAGGCTATATGTCTTAATTTCACACAGGTTAACCTAAATTTAAGGAAACCCAACATGTACATGTCATACATGATGATAATTCTAATGAAAAGATTGTTATTTGATGTATTTAATAAGATACCTTTAGGACATTTAAAATATGATTTAACTTAATTCATAACTGAAAATGCCTTGCCAGGAACACACAGAACATTTTGGTGTTTTACATTAGGTATAGTTATGAAAACACTTTGTAAAAGCTCAGTAACTCAGCATTACTGCTTACATATTTTCTATCTAGTTTGGGACTATCTTTGCTGGTATGGTATTTCCTGCTTCCTAATGATTCTATGCTGCAATGACTATCGCCTACCCGTGGAAAGAATAGCTATGGGAGATTAGAAGCCCCATGAGAAAAAATCTTTTTTATGTTTACGTTACATAGGTAAGGTTGCTTTTTAAGACTTTTAATTAAAATATTTTCAAAAAAAATTGCTGTTTACAAAATAAGTGAACAAATAAAATAGAAACAGATTAATAGACACAGAGATCAGAGGGGAAAGGAGTTCAGGGGACTAAGTGAAAAAGATGAAGGGATTAAGAAAAACACATTGGTAGTTACAAAACAGTCATGAGGTTCAGCATAGGGAATATAGTCAGTAATATTGTAATAATTATGTATGGTGCCAGATGGGTACTTTAAATATTGGGGCGACCATTTTGTAAAGTATATGATTGCCTAACCACTATGCTATACATCCAAAATGAATACAAAATAATATTGGGTGGAAGAATCAAGATGGCAGCTTAAGAAAGCAACTGTACTCTCTGCCTCTCACAACGACATCAAAATTACAACTAAAATACAGAACACCATCATTCAGAACCACCTGAAATCTGGCTGAATGGAAGTCCTACAACTAGAGATGTGAAGAAGAATTAATACTGGTAGGAGGGATAGAGGCACAGAATTGGCTGGATTGGCACCCACAGGTGCTGCTTTTAGATAGGAGGGAGATTGTCTCTGTGGAGGCCGCCTGTGAGGAGCAAGGGTCCCAGCCTCATACCAGCCTCTCAGCCCAGAGTTCCAGAGCTGGGAAGAGAAGTTGCCATTAACTACAGACTATAAAAACTAGTAGGATTTGGGGCTGAGTGACACAGAGGCCGCTAGAGACCCAGGTGTTCCTTTTAAAGGGCTGGTGCAGCAACTGAACTTAAAAGGCTCTGCTTCCTCTGAGCTCCAGTGCCAGTATGATTGGCTGGCATCAGGGCAGCTTTCTCCCAGATGGAGGTGCTCACAGGGGTCATGTGCTGATACCTCCTCTGTGGCAGGACTGACTAGCCGCCATATCTCTTTTCTCTGCCCTGGTGATTCCCTGAGATTCCGCCTCATCCAATTTGAAGCCCCACCCACTCATTTGCAGTGGTTTTTGCATATGAATGTCCTTGCTGAGGCTTCAGACTTTCCTAAGATCTCCCAAACAAGCTGCAGAAGTCCAAACCAAATAACTCCTGCAAGGTGGTACCATGCAGTGGCTGACTATGCCTCCCTGGAGGCTCTAGAGCCAGTGCACCTGGTGGACAGCTTCAGACCAAAGCAGATTACAACTCTACACATCCATAAGTGACACACTCAAGGGGAAGACTCAGTGAGGACTGAAGCCCTACTGAAGCAAGCCCATAGGGGTGTCTCCTGCACAGCATCTCTCCACTGTAGCTGCAGTTGGTGCTCACAGCCAATTGGCCTGGAGGTCAACTCCCAGTGACACAAACAGCAGTCAAAGGTCAACAGCAAATAGGGACACACCTACAGGGCCCAGCTCAGGTGACTGGGGAGGCTGAGCCACTGGGCCATATAGGACATCTACTACACAAGGCCACTCTACCAATTCTGGAAGACATAGTAGCTCTACATAATATGCAGAAACAAACTCAAGGAAGCAGCCAAAATGGGAGACAACAAACATATCAGAAATGAAAGAAATGGAAGCAACCAAACATTTGGATACAGAGTTCAAAACCATGGTTATAAGGTTACTCAACAATCTTCTTGAGACTTTCAAGGATCTTAGTGAGAAAGTTAAAGACATGAAAAAGGAAATTAAGCATACACTAACTGAAATAAGTAATAATTTACAGGGAATCAACAGTAGAGTAGAGGATTCTGAGAATCAAGTCAACAATTTGGAATATGAGGAAGCAAAAAGATAAAAGAATCCAAAAATAAGAAACTAGAGTAAGGAGCCTCTGGAACAACTTCAAGTATACCAACATTCACATTATAAGAGTGCCAGAAGGAGATGAAAGAGAGCAAGATATTGTAAACCTAATGAAGAAATAATGGCAGAATGCTTCCCCTACCTGGTGAAAGAAATAGATTTACAAGTCCAGAAAGCACAGAGAGTCCCAAACAAGAGGAATCCAAAGAGGCCCACACCAAGACACCACATAATTAAAATGCCAAGGGTTAGAAACAAAGAGAGAATCTTAAAAGCAGCAAGAGAGAAGCAGTTACCTACAAAGGGTTGCCCATATGACTCAGCTGATTTCTCAACGGAAACTTTACAGGCCAGAAGAGAGTGATAAGAAATATTCAAAGTGATGAATATCAAGGATCTACAATCAAGATTACCCAGCAAAGCTCTCATTTAGAATTGAGGGGCAGATAGAGCCTCACAGAGAAGAAAAAGCTAAAGTAGTTAATCACCACCAAACCAGTATTACATAAAATGTTGAAGGGTATTCTTGGAGAAGGAAAAGGGGAATGGGAAGGGAAAGGGATAAAAAATATGAACAATAAAATGGCAACAAATGCATATCAACAATTGAATCTAAAAATCAAACTAAACAAGCTAATGAACATAATCAACTGATAAATAAAATAGAATCAGAGGTATGGAAGGATGGAACAGACTAATGAATCTCAAAGGGAAGGGGGTCTGGGACGGGAAGAGATTAACCAGAGATCTTACCTAAGGACCCAGACAGTAGGGTGGTGAAGGCTTGGGATGAGTTGGGAACCAGGTGGAGATGAGCAATGGGAAAGTAAGGGGACATCTGTAATATTCTCAACAATAAAGATTTTTTTTAATTAAAAAAAAAACATTGAATGTAAACTGTAATTGAAAAAATTTTAAAATAAAGTATAAGCAAAATTCAAAAACAAATTTCTATTTAAATGGAAATATTTGAAAGCTTAAGAAGCTTGCAAAATTTATTTATTACTGATGTCATGTCACTTAAATTGATTTTACAAACTGCTTTTTTATGAAGCAATTTCTATGTTCCATAATGCTGTGTGCTGTAGTGATGTTATTTGATTTGAGACTTTATAAAGTATATTTTATTGCCGTGTACTTTCTAATTTATAAAATTTCATCATTTTTTTGTTCAAAGTAACTCAGGGATTCTGCTTTTGGTAGAAAATGGGGGTTTTATTGTGTATTTATGATTTTTATAAATTCTTTATTTAATGTATTACATATAATATTACATGTGTCTTCTTTTTCCCCTATTGACCTCTCCCCAGCCACCCCCACCTCTATCATATATCCTCACTCCCCTAGTATCTGTTATGCTTATATGCATGCATACAAGTCTTTTGATTGATCTCTTACCACCACCCCCTTGGATATTTATGATCCTATATATTAAAGAGCTAAGATGCTAATTAGACCTGATGGCAGAATAACCTTCCGGAACAATGGGGGTGGGGCTGAGAGGCAGCCAGGCTGCAAGCGCAGAGCCCCTCACATGAATTTCGTGCATTGGTCCTCTAGTTTTATATAGACTCACCTCACAAAAAGTACTTGAATATAATAATTTTGTAAGTTACTTAATAATTTATATTCTAGGGAATTTTTTTAAAGGAATATTGATAAATCATTTATAAAATAACTTCCTCTTTGTTTTATTCACTTACATGTTTTTTCTTTAATTGTGTGGAAGATAGCGGATGGAACTTTTAGATTAGATGGCAGGAAAAGGGGAAAAAAATTCCTGTGGCTAATAAACATAATGGTAGCTATTGAATACTTTAATGTTTTCCCCCCTTTTATTGTTAAATACAGGGTATATTTACTTCTGGCACCTGGGAAGAGAAATCAGATGACATTTTCTTTGCTGACTTCAAATTCTCAGTCACTCATCATTATCTTGTACAAGAATCCATTGATAAAGAAGGAAAGGATGAAGTACTAGAAGGTAGGCTTTTTTTTTAATACGTATTTTAAACTCCTGACTTGTAGGGTTAATTGTCATTTTGAATACAAATTTAGTTCTCTTGATTATGTAGTATCCTCTGGATATATTTTACATATGCATAGTTATTTCACCAGTGCATCTGAAGTAGAAGTGATCTTTTCAAAGGAAGAATCACAGCATCATTTAAAAATTAATTAAATCAGCAAATATTTATTGAGTGCCTACCATGTGCTAATTACTCGGCTACATCCATTTGAACCCAAACTTAAATTTATGTTTCATTAGGGGAAATAAGGTTTATAGGTAATTATCAGTCTTAGGAGGTAGAAAGTAAGTACCATCCCAAAGCACCGATAAAGTTCTCCTAGAGTTCAGAGAAGGAAAGATTGCTTTTAATTGGGAAAGATCAGAGAAGGTGTTATGGAGAATTAGGCAACTACTACCTGCCCATGCTAGATATTCAGTAAATCTGCGTATAGTTGTTTATAGGTCAAATCACCAATCTTCATCCTGAGATATAATAGTATATAACTGTGAGTGAGCAGGGTATTAAAAACATATAAATTTTAGAGCTATCAGTCAAAAATACTCTATTTATTTAGAAAATAAATATGCAGGATGTGTGTTAAAGTTTTTCTGGTCAGTTAAGGACATTTTGCTAGAGAGAGAAAGACATTCCTCTTCCTCCAAATCTAAGTGCTAGCCCTAGATTTAAATCTTTGAGCAATTGCAAAACTACATGGACTTGCAAAGACATGTTCTATAATATTTCTGTAATCATATTACAAAATTCTGCCTTAGAATGAACAGTTAACTTTTTCATTATCTAATGTTTTTGTAGATGTTCTTCCACAATCTATGCAAGATTTGCTGTGTATGAATAATGACTTTCCTCCAAGAGCACATTGCCTGGTAAGATGGTAGGTATACATTTTATTCAGAAGAACTTTTAGAAAGTGTGTTGGGGAGGCCCCAAGGCTGCCCAGGTTGATGATTTGGAGGAGGTCCCTCAGGACTCAGCATATAGCTGCCCTTTCTGCTATGACTTATTTCAATGACAGCATGCAGAGCAAAATCAGCAAAAGGAAAAGGTGCTTGAGACAAAGCTTGTAGGCAGTAGAAAGAGCCTTTCCTGGTGGAGTTACACAGTACATACTTAATTCCCTTAGCACCAGGTTGTGACAACATATGAAATGTTGCCTACCAAGGAAGCTTGTTAGAGGCTCTGTTCTCAGGGTTTTTAATTGGGGGTGGCACCTTCTGACTGATAAATAACAAAATTTCAGACTCCCAGAAGGAAGCAGGTGTTTAGTATAAACTACATTGTTTGTACAAACATTTTGGGCACAGTAACTCTTACCAGTTAGAGCAGAAGTGAACCCACTCCCCCCCCCCCCCCCCCCCCCAAATCCAAGTTCTAGGTGCCAGCAAAGGTAGGCCTTGCAAGTAGATTATCCTAAGGATAGTAGTCACCGGCCTGCTGTGAACACTTTCCTGCAAAGTATATATCATATCTAGGTAGTAGCTAACCTAATTCTGATGATTAGTATAGAATACTTAAAAACCATAGAAGAGTTAACATATATTGTTGGAAATAGAATTGAAAAACAAATGTTGATCTCAGTTACATGATAACATCAAAGCTTAAATTATAAAATGTGACACATTAATAAAAAAGGCACATTACATTTAAAAGGGCTTTATCTTTTTTAGTAATTCAAAGTATGTCTGAATTTTATTTTGGAGGGAGTGGCATTACCGTAAAACACACCATCACCAAAATGGTCCAAGTATGAACCATAGTCAAGGAAGGAGACCTGGTAAAGGGAATTTATATACTGGTTTTAAATTGTTCTATTGGTGTGAGTTGGTCTTTTAATTTTTTATTAAAGAATTTCTAAGAAAGGGGAAAATGGTAACATCTGTGTTTGTTTCTTTTTGTTCATTCCATTGTGTTTACTATAGTAAGCAGATTATATAGCACACTAAAAAAATAAAAGAATTATTTGCAAGTGCAAATAAACTGGATATTGTTTCATAAATACTGTTATTTTTTTATGACATTTTAAAAACCTTGAACTTAAACAATTTAAACAACTATAAAAGGAATTCAGTAAATTACCCATTTAATTTAAACAGTAGAATCCCCTGATCTTTAAATGGGTAACTTAAATGTGAATATATACATCAGCATGGCAAAATACTGTATATTGGAAGGCAGCATGTTGTTATAGAACAGGGGTGGGAAACCTTTTTTCTGCCAAGGGCCCTTGGATATTTATAACATCATTTGCTTAATATAAATTTATGTTGCTATGAAAAAGAGCCTAGATTTATTGAATTTCAAGTCCCGCTTGCATTTGCCTTGGAAGGGCCAGACCAAATGATTTTGTGGGCCTTACACAGCCCTCAGGCCAGATGGTCCCCACCCCTGTTATAGAGCAAGACTTTCATTCAACATTAACTGAACACCTACTGTAAGCCTTTCAGCTTCAATCACTTTGTGGTCACTATAAGGGACCAGCAGCAGCAATAAAAGGAACAGTCCACAAACAATCTTATGAACAATGTTTATAAATGAATAATTATGATGGCTTTTTCAAAATTTATTTTTGTGATTTTAATGTATTTTTTTTGCTGGTCAGAGAGAGAGAGAGAGACAGACAGACACACAGACATATGAAAGGACCTGGTAATTTTGAGAATGGAATTTTAAAATAGCCCCAAGGGCCTATAAAATATTCTTATTTTTTAAAAAGCTAATGTTCAGAGGATTTCTGATAATGGTGACATGAAGTGTTACCTTCTTAAAGAAAGAAAAAGAATGTATGAAATTGGAAGAAGTTTTATAAGTAACTTATTGTAGATCACTGGAAATTGCTTAAAGGCAGAAAAAAAAATTAGAAGTTTTTTGTTTTGTTTTTTCTCTTGAAAAACTGTTTGAGCTCTTCTGGTAAGAACAGGGGCCTCTGGCCCTTCTATTTGTGGCTGTTCTATTATTGTCTCTCTTCGCACAAATCTTTGTTGGTGAAAACTGTAGTTTTCTAGCCTAGGCTGGCCATGGAAACCACCAGCTCTTTTGTCAGAGAGGCAGACTTGCTTCTGGGTGGAGGACAAAAACCTGTACCCTTGCTAGGCCAAGGTTGCAGTCCATAGGCAAGTGGTGGATTCATCAGAGATTTAGCAAGGATATCCTGTATGGGAACCATGGAAGAGCTGGTTCACTCTGTATGCATTCCTGTATGATAGGAGAAACACCAAAGCCCAAACTTTAAAGCTAGCTGTGACTTTGAGTAAATTATCCAACCCCTACACACAGATCAGTCATCAGAAAAGGAAAACCTTACTGGTTTAGATGTTTAAACACATCTGTGCCCAGATTATTGGCTTATTATAATACTAAAACAAGGGGTAGCCTGGTTTAAGAAACAAGTACAAAATGACTGAATAGAGACATTAATAACTGAACACCTTGAGGGAGACAGATTGCACAGTTTAAGCCCAAGCAAGTTACTAAATACAAACAAAAGAGAAGCAACTCTCAGGAAAGTTAAATAGGACCTGGTTTTGCAATAATATATTACCTAAATGTAATTTTCAACCACAGATAACTAAATATGCAGGGTCACAGGAAAGTGTGGCTCATATGCAAATAGGGAAAAAAACAACAGTAGAAATGGACTTTAGTGGACTCAGATGTTAGATTTACCAATAGTTTCAAAGCAGTTATTAAAATTATAGTCAAAGAACTAAAAGAACTGTATTCAAAGAATTAAAAATATATAACAATGAATCAAATAAGATATCTCAATAAATGGGAACTATAATAAAGAACCAAATGAAAACCCCACAGTTGAAAAGTATAACTGAGGCTTAGAGCTAATAATCGCCACATTTTAAAAATTTACTTTTTCTTGACATGCAGGCTAAGTCTCAATCCCTCTCTAAAATGCCACTTAATAAAATTGTCTATAGTTTTTTAAAAAGTATAATTGAAATAAACTCACCAAATAACTTATATTGATCCTTCAAAAATAATAATTGGGAAAGTACATTAGAATTCATAGAAGAGAACATGTTTAACAGGCATGATGGATTGGTATTTGAGGCAAATTTTCAAAAAAAGATCCAGCAGGGTTTGGATATTTAGTGAAGGCAATAGAGTGTGTGTGTGTGTGTGTGTGTGTGTGTGTGTGTGGTGGTATTTTACATAGAGGACATAAAACCAGAGGATAGAATTTCATTGTGGATAAACAAAAAACAGTTCAGTTTGGTTTGTTTGTTAATGGCAATATTCACTGAACAGGCTGTGTTTGTGTAGAGAGGGAAGAGATAGTTTGGCAATAGCAATCAATGTTAAAGATACAGATGTTCTTTTTTCCAGCAACTTTTATGACTTTATCTCACACATATACTTGTAGAAATAGACAGTCATAGTATTGTTGCAACAGTATAAAACTGGAAGCAAAGTATTGATGAGTACGGGATATGGTACAGAATGTATGTCCTAATATCTAAAAAGCCAGGGCAGTCACTACTGAAACAACCGGATGGGTGACAGAACACAGGCTGCATGGGGCTACAAGGCCGGCAGGGAGGTTAGGGAGGGACGACCAAATGACTGAACAGCAGGCTGTGTGGGGCGACCAGGCTGGTGTGTGTGTGGGGAAGATGGGGGTGACCAGGCCAGCAGGGGGACAGTTGGGGGCAACCAGGCTGGCAGGGGGAGGGGGAGTCAGTTAGGGACAATCATGCAGACAGGGAGGCAGGTGAACAGTTAGGAGCCAGCAGTCCCAGATTGTGAGAAGGATGTCTGACTGCTGTTATAGGCCCGATCCTGGATGGGCCTAAACCGGCAGTTTAATATCCCAGGAGGGATCCTGGATTGGAGAGGGTGCAGACTGGGCTAAGAAGGCCCCCACCACCACCTGTGCACAAATTTTGTGCACTGGGCCTCTTGTCCTATCTAATAAAAGAGAAACGTGTGTATGCAAATTAACCCAACCAATATGGTGGTTAATTTGCATAATCAGACACAGAGTGAAAACTGAAGACAGCATAGAAGGAAGCCAAGTGCTGCAGAAGGGAATGAAGCTGTGGAGACGCAAGCGGGATGGCGGAGAAAGGAGGGAAGCAGGCAGGGCAGCAGAAATGGCCGCAGGAAGCCCTATTCTTGCAGGAATCTTCCTGCAACAGGCCTCTAGTATATATACAAAAGTGTAATATGCTAATTAGACCAAACAGCTGAACAACCTTCTAGATGAAGCCCGGTATACAAGAACTGAGCCCCTTGCATGAATTTCATGCATTGGGCCTCTAATGTGTGTGTGTATGCATGCCAGAAACTGGGTGCATGAAATTTGTGCACAGACGGATTCCCTCAGCACGACCTGCACCGTCTCGCAATTTGGGACCCCTTGGGGGTTGTCTAACTGCCAGCCAAGGCCCATCCAGGATCAGGCCTAAACTGACAAATGGACTTTCACAATCCAGGACTGCTGGCTCCTAATCGCTCACCTGCCTGCCTGCCTGATTGCCCTAACTGCCCTCCCCTGTAGGCCTGATTGCTCGCCCCCTGCCAACCTGATCACCCCTAACCACCTCTGCCTCAGTCCCTGCCACCGTGGCTTTGTCTGGAAGGACATCCAGAAGATGTCCAATCTAATTAGCATATTACCCTTTTATTAACACACACGCTAGAGGCCTGGTGGGGTCTGATTGGGGGTAGGAGCTATAGGCAGTTAGCTGGCCAACCTGTCCCCTTGATCAAACTCCTGGTCGAATTCCCAGTCTAGGGGACAATTTGCATATTAGCCTTATATAGGATATATGTGTATATAAATTATATATATAATATATATTATAATCTTATTTGAAGATAGAATTGGTACATGGACAGATACAATATTTCTGGAAGAAGAACCAGCAAACTGTTCACAGTGGTTTCATTCTAGTGTGGGGGTGGCCCGGGGAAATGTTCTCTTGTTTTTTGTCTTCTAGGGATATTAATAAAAGAAAACTATTTTTCAAGACCTTTAGAGCTTAAAATTCATAGCTCTGAGCTCCCAGTATTTGATGCTGCTTTTATATAACTAATTTTTATTTCAGAGGGAGAAGGGTAGAAGTGAGGTAAGAAGACAAAAATGAATTTTTGTATCTGAACAATAAACAGATTATGGGTTAGACTTTGAAATGTTTATTTATTGCCATTTGGAGGATGTCTTAGGAGAATGTTTATAAAAATAGAGGTCTGGTGCACAAATTCGTGCATGGGTGGGGTCCCTTGGAGTGGCCTGTGGACATCGGGCCCCAGCTTGCACACCCACCTTTGCAGCCCTGTAGACCTGCCTGGCACCTGCCTTGGCTTGATGCCATCCCCTCAGCTGCTCTACAGTGCTGCCTCACAGTGCCTGGGAGCTGGGCGGTGGCCCCACCCTCACACTGCTGCCATTAGTCACTGTCTGCAGGGCAATCAGCAGGGCAATCAGGCCCCCTCTCTCACCTGCCTTAACCTGGCACCGCCCATTCACCTGCTTCACCATCCTGCCATAGTCCTGCTCCATTGGGGACAGCAGGGCCTTCACTGCCACCTGCTGCCAGTGCCATGTCACTGATGCCCACCTGAGGATCAGTACACATCATATCGAGCAGTCAAACAACTGCCCAAGGGGACAATTTGCATATTAGGCTTTTATTATATTTTATTAAAATAAATTGGGCAATGAGTAATGTCTTTCATAATTTTTATTTTTAAAAATTATTAAATACATACTGAGGAGAGCCTAGGACAGGAATTTTCAATAAGCAAGATCACCAACTTGAACTTTCATGTTTGTAAAGTATGGCTGCAAACTTGTGTTTTTTAAAGGCATTTTTAAAGACTTAAATAAATTTTCATTATTATAAAGTACCATAGCAAGAATAAACTATTCGGTCTAGTAATAATTAACGTCGTTTTCTAATACTTTTTTTTAAAATCGAATTTATTTAAACATTACAACAAAATTTAATCAACAATATAGTTGCCGTTGTTTTCTACTACTTGTGCCCAACGCTCAGGAAGCATTTTAATCCCTCTGTTGTAAAATTCTTGTGATTTTGATGCAAAAAATTTGGTCAATGCATTTTTGAGGCATTCTTCATTATTAAATTTTTTTCCAAGAAGAAAGTTTTGCAAAGAACGAAACAAATGGTAATCGGAAGGGGCAATATCAGGAGAATATGCAGGTTGAGGGAGAACTTCCCATTCCAACTGGCGCAGTTTTTCAGCAGTGATTCTTGCAGTATGCGGTCGTGCGTTATCGTGGTGAAGAATTACGCCCTTCCGATTAATCAGCACGGGTTCTTTTTCTCTTAAAGCTTGGGCTAACCTTTCCAATTGGGCACTATACACTGCACTTGTAATGGTTTGGTTAGATGGTAAAAGTTCATAATGAAGAATTCCTTTAAAATTCCACCAAACACACAACATCACTTTTTTCGCATGCAAGTCAGGTTTTAGCGTGGGCTGCAGAGCCTCATTTTTGTCCAACCATTGAGGCTGCCTTTTCAAATGAACATACAGCACCCATTTTTCATCTCCAGTAACAATTTGCTCTAAAAACGGCAAACGGTTTTGACGAGAGAGGAGCGAACTGCAAATTGTGACTCTTTGATTACGGTTGTTGTCGGTCAACTCATGAGGAACCCATTTTCCAAACTTTTGGACTTTGCCAAGTGGAAATTGTTTTTTGTGAACAATTTAAAGTTGTCGCAAGCTCTTGTTGGGTAATTTGAGGATTTTGCACCAAAAGAGCTTGAAGAGCTTCTTGATCAAAATTGGACACACGGCCTCGACCACTCTTGTCATCTAACGAAAAATTTCCCTTGCGAAATTTCTCAAACCAACGCTGGCATTTTCTGGCGCTAACTGCATGTTGACCAAGAGCACTACAGATGTTTTTTGCAGCCTCACTTGCTTTTCTTCCTAATTGGAACTCGTAAAGCATGCAGTGCCGAATATGCTCTTCATCCGCCATCTTCTTAGCCCTAGTTTTGCAACAAAAACCAAACCAAACACAAACTTTTTCAAGCAAAACTTGTTAATTGCTCTTCACATGTTCTGTAGATACCACGTGTTTGAAGGTTATGTCAATACAAGTCAACGCCAAGCAAGATTTTAAACAAATGTTTAAAAACGACATTAATTATTACTAGACCCAATACTTTCTGATAATATTGTCATCTACCTAATGTGTTATTGAATAAAAGAATTCCTTTAATTATGATTCCTAAGTTAACCACTTGTCTCTTAGGAATAGCACAAGTGTATCATGGCTTGTAATTATTTTACTGCCATTTAGGAATCTTTCAAACTTTCTCTTTCTACAATAGTGGACTTAAAATTAAAGTCCACTATTAGTTATCAGTTAAAGCAAAATTTTAGTGCTAGCTTTCATGTTTCATTTTTAAAATTAAACTTTTAAAGCAAAACTGTTATTTATTTTTCTTGTGATTTCAGCACATTGCTTCTAGTTTATAGTAGAATGATATAGAAGTATTTTACTAAATGAAGGAAATGCTGATAGTAGCTTTAGTTGCCCTTAAAAAAAAAAAAAAAAGAAAAAGAAACACCTATACTTCAAACCTGACTTGTTAAATTTTCTTAAGAGACTTTTAAAAAAATGTTATTCATATAATATATATTTGTATTCTGAAGTTTCCGCCTGTTTAATAGCAATGATTTTTTTTTTTTTTTTTTTTTTTTTTTTTTTTTTTTTAAGGTATGGACTGCGAGAGTTCGTGGTGCTTGCCCCTGCAGCAAACAGCGATGCTGTTCTCAGTGAATCTAAGTGCAATCTTCTTCTAAGTTCTGTGTCTATTGCTTTGGGAAACACTGGCTGGTAGGGGACATTTTGAAAAATAGACAATAAGTTAAAAACTATTTTTAATTATATTTTATGAAGGAAAATGGTTCTTAAGTATTAGGTTTTTAAAATTATACTTGGGATTACTACTTGTACATTATGATACTTTTGGAATTTGTATATAAGACTAACTCAACAAAATCTTTAGGGGAAGCATTTATAAAGGGAAACGTACTGAAATACTCAATGAATGTTCAAAATGAAGAGTACTGCTTTTGTGCTTTGCTTCCAAATGTTTAGTGTATTTAAATTTTGTTACAAAATCTAATTTTAAAACTTGACAGCATTGCCATGTTCAACCTGAGCTGGAAACATGTTTATCAGGTGACTCAAAATTCTTAATGCTCTCCACGTGTCTGCAAATGACTGAAAGTGCTGCAAGTATTGATTTTGGGGTTACAAATAAATTTTGGCAATTTGCACAGAGGAAAATCTGTGAGTAGTAACGATTAACTTTATCTTCAAATGATAAAGTAAAAAGTATATCATCATGAATGTTGATTTAATTTGTATTATTTAGTACTTGTGAATCAACTTTATGTATTATGACTTTGGAAAGGCTAATATATGATCATTTTTATTGACTAAAATTTTCATTCTACTTTTTAACAAACTTTCAACCATTTAAAAAATTCCTATTTTAATTATGTCCTACAGCCAGGTGCCACTCTTTGTGCAAATTCATCACAAATGGCGAAGAATGTATGTGGGAGAATGTCAGGGTCCTGGTGTCCGAACTGATTTTGAAATGGTTCATCTTCGAAAAGTGCCAAATCAGTACACTCACTTATCGGGCCTGCTTGATATCTTCAAATCAAAGATTGTAAGTTGGCATTGATATTGTGAGTCTTTTCTGGAATCCAGATGAAAGTAGCAATTTGATAATTTGATTGAGTATATAGAAATACTTCTCTATAATATTTATAGTGGAATTACTTAAAAGGAAGATGTAATTGACTATATAAATTATAAATTACTGCCTGTTTTCTAAAAATTTTTTAAATTGATTTTTATATATATAGAGAAACATTGATGTAAGAGCTAAACATCACTCGGCTGCTTCCTACAATCCCCCTACAGGGGACAGAGCCTGAAACCTAGGCATGTGTCCTGACTAATAAGCGAATAGAATATAAGACAGATTTATCTTAAAAAAAAAAAAAAAAAAATATATATATATATATATATATATATATATATATATATATATTTTTTAATTTTTTTTTTATTGATGTTTTACAGAGAGGAAGGGAGAGGGATAGAGAAACAGAAACATTGATGAGAAACATCAATCAGCTGCCTCCTGCATGCCCCCTACCAGGGATGTGCCTGCAACCAAGATACATGGGCTTGACAGGGGACCTCAAGATGCACCCTCAGTACTGGGTCGGGGGAACTCAGACTGTGCCTCCCGCCCAGCGGGGCTTGACAACCTGAGGCTGCGGAGCTTGATGAGGAATCTCAAGTCAGTGTCCCCCACCTGGCTGGGCTTTATGGGGGACCTCAAGGCACTCCTCTCACCCCAGTTTGGGCTGGGAGACCTCAGGCCACACCCCCAATCCTTGCACCACCTGCCCACGGGGCACCTGAGGCTGCACCACCTGCCCATGGGGCTTGACAAAGGATTTAGTATCTTGTTTCAGGTAGTGGTATAAACAGCTTTACTCTAATGTCATTTTGTTCTCTGGCATTGTTTTTAAAAACGCTGTGTGCTTTTTAAGCTACACCACTCCGTCTTTGCATTTATTTCCTAGGGATGTCCTTTAACACCATTGCCTCCCGTTAGTATTGCTATCCGATTGACCTATGTACTTCAGGATTGGCAGCAGTATTTTTGGCCTCAGCAGCCTCCAGGTGAGCTAACTTAAAACTGTAGTTCACTTACTGAATATAAATAGAAAAGAAAATATATTCGGAAATTAAAATTATTTAAGAGTGTGTTTTAGGTGTTTTAAGTTTGAAATATCTGTAATTCATTCTAAATGCAATATTTCTGATTTAATTTCCTTCATCATTTTTTTCTCTTTAAAAAAACTCTTCAGATTATTCTAGATACATTATTACTTTATATACTTGACTTTGAAAAGCTAATACTGCTTATAAAGCATCCCCCTGCTGTGGAACATCATGTGCTATATGCAGTGAATGATTAAAATGTCTGTTTTTAGAATACTATAATAAGAGAAGCTATCATAAGCTGAGGATGGATTGCAGAGAGCTTTATAAAGTTTGAAGAAGAGTGTTAAATAAGGAAACCAGGAAAAAAATGTTTGTATACACATATACTTATGATGGGAAGGCCTGTAGAATATTGTATTTGATAAAAATGCAATTAAAAACAGCTTACTTACTGCTTCATTCAACAATCATTATCTATAATAATAAAAGGGTAATATGCTTATTAGATAGGACATCTTTCCGATGAAGCCAGGGCCAGAGGGAAGCCCAGGTCCTGGGTTCCAGAGGGAAGCCGGTGCCAACAGCTGGGGAAAGGAAGGCCTACTCTCGCACGAATTTCTTGCATCGAGCCTCTAGTTGGCTTATAATAAGTCAGACTGTGCTAGAGACACAAATATAAATAAGATGTCATGTTAAGTTCTAGAAAAGCTCAGCCCGAGAGATATAGAGCCTAATTAAGTGAGTTTTTTTTTTTTCCCCCTGGATGTTTCTCTTACTTATAAGTGTAATTATATTCAGGTATATATAAAAAGAAATTAAATACAAACATAAATTATTATAAGGATTTTACTAGCCTGAAAACATTTTTCAGTCTCCCTCCCTCAAAGAGAAATAAATAAGAATTAAATAATATTCTTTATTGTTTATTTTTATTCTAAGTAGTTGGTTATAGGATTGAAAATAATAAATTGGTAATCTTGGGATGATATGAAAAGTAATGTAATACATTCTTAGCTTTAGTAGTTATATATGCTACTACTATCTTATGTACCATTGAATAATATGAAACTAATCTATAATAAAGTATAGTATGCTAATTAGACCAGACGTCCTTCCAGATGACCTTCCGGACAAAGCTGGGGCTGGGAGGGAAGCCCAGGTCCTGGGTGTCAGAGGGAAGCCAGTGCCGGCAGCTGGGGGAAGGAAGGCCTGCTCTTCCACAGATTTTATGCATTGGGCCTCTAGTGTACAATAAAAAAGCTGCATCTAAACTACAAGCAAAAAAAATAAAAATAAAAGCTGAGCTGACATATATATTAGAAGAAAGACTCAAATGTTTGTTTTGGTAATTTTACTTTTCAGACAACAATACCCACTAGACAATTTGTAGTTGGTCTCTAGTTAAAAGTTTAAATTCCTACCCTTCTCTTTTTTTTAAAGGCTGCTCTAATATTAGTCAAAAAACTAATTTCCCAAGATGGGTACCTTGGTCTGTTGATGATCTAAGAAGAAGCCCAAAAGCCAAAATTTTAGCAGTGTAATTCTGATTGCCAATAAGGCCTTTGTTAACATTCTATTGCTGATTTTTTAAAATCGGTATAAAAATATTAACCTTCCTCTTCAGTGGATTGAAGACCATATACATTTTTACTATTTTCTCCTATAATGAGAATAAAGGGATTGAAAATGTAATATGAGCCAGACACTGTGCTTGGCATTTTATATATTATTTCACATAATTTTTATTTACAGATATAACTATCTTTCTCAGAGAACATAAGTAATAGGACCGAGGTCACATGATCACCAAGTAATAAAGTTCTCATTTAAACATTGGTCAAACTCTAAATCTCATGGTCTTTTCATTTCATAATATTCTCAACTTTTAATTTAGTTAAAACATGTATGCAGTTATAGTCTAGTAATTTTAATTTACAAAATGTGCTTATTATAAATTTTGAAGCTCTTAAAAATTGCATCTTATATAATAAAGAGGTAATATGCAAATTGACCCTCACACCCTTGTATCACAAAATGGCCACCCCCATGTCATTACAAGATGGCCGCCCCCACATCATCACAAGATGGTTGCCCCCCTGCCATCGCAAGATGGCTATGGCTACCTCCACATTGTCACAAGATGGCCACCACAAGATGGCTGCCCCACATCATCTTAAGATGGCCGCCCCCCATTGTCACAAGATGGCCATCAGGGCAGTTGGGGCTGATCGGCCTGGCAGGGGAGCAGTTAGGCATCAATTGGGTTGGCAGGGGAGCAATTAGGGGGCGATCAGGCTGGCAGGCAGAAGCGGTTAGGGTAAGGTGACCAGACGTCCTGCTTTTGGCAGGACAGTCCCGATTTTTAACAATTTGTCCTGCGTCCAGTGGCATTTTAAAAAAGTCCTGATTTTTGGAAAGAATGCACGACAAGCTAGGGGACAGAGGAGTAGGGGAAGGGGATATACGGTTTTTGGCGGCCATGTGGCTCTGTAGCCAGAATATGAGTTTTATATTATTTTTATTAATTTTATAATGTTAAACTTTAATAATAAATAATTGTTGAGAACTGCTTATCAAAGTTCGCATTGTTGATCAGTTACAATTGTGAAATACACGCTGTCCTTACCAGCTGCGACTGAACGCGTTTTTTGATGGTAAATAAAGTGTGGACATCAGTAAAATCACAATTAAGTGTTGAGACTTTGAAAGCCATTTTATGTATGAAATATAATTTAACAAATTCTTGTGAAAAATTTCATGACCTTTTATTTTTTTTTTTTTTTGCATTTTTTTAAATTAATAATTTATTTATTTTACATATTTTATTGATTTTTTTTTTGCCCCCCTCCTTCCCTCCCACGTATTTCCTCCCTCCCCAGAGTGAAAAATTTCATGACCTTTTAAATGACGACAGCAGTCTACTAAAAAAATTCACTCAAATGAGAAGTATGCCAAAGAATAAAATACTATGCATAATTTTTATTTATTTATTATATTTGTAAATTGTACTTATGTTGAAATTTTAAAAAATACATTACAATACTATTTTTGCGTTCTATGAAAATTTTTGTTGCTCCGTATAGACCAAATTTTTAATCAAGAACCCCTTTCCCCCCTCCTCTTCCCCCTGGTTAATGGTGTCCTACTTTATCAATGTTAAAATCTGGTCACCTTAGGTTAGGGGCAATCAGGCAGGCAGGCAGGAGAGTGGTTATAGGAGCCAGCAGTTCCAGATTGGGCCTAAATCAGGAGCCAGACATCCCCCAGGGTGTCTCAGATTGGAGAGGGTGTAGACTGGGCTGAGGGACACCCCCCCCCCCACAGTGTACAAATTTCATGCACTGGGCCTCTAGTGTTATAATAAAGCTAGTCATTGTGATCTTTATTATTGTAAGCATTCTTTAGTTGGAAAAATAGATTGAATTGACTTGAGAAAATTTACTGAATCAAGTAAGTGAACCATATATAATGACTAATTTTATTAATTTAGTTAGGGTATAGTTTGTCAAACATGATTTTAGCAAAACAGGGTGTGTTTATAATTCAACAGTAGACTTTAATTTTAGGGATTCTCAGGGTAATAGGAATAATTAAAAACAATCATCCATATTACTTCAGATAAATATGAATCTTTTTGATGTGTTTTGGAAGTGTTGATTACTTCTTCAAGAGGAATGGAATTAGGGGAGTGTTTTACCTTATAAATTCTCTAATCTCAGATAACCATTCTTAATGGAAAAGAGATTCTTTGGTGAACTTTAAATATTTCCACATACTATCAACTGAAATCTGATTTTATTAATGATGACTAATTTGTTATTCAGAAACTATTGACAGCAAAACTGATGAAGGTAAGGTAGTACTTAAATTTTTTAATACTTGGATAATCTATCTTTTAGATGATATAATCAACATTCGTAAGTGATGCAAAATAATGTTCTTTTGAATAATATTTAAGGAATATTTAAGGAGGATAAAATTGGAGTGCATGATTTGAATTAAACACTGGATAATTAGGAATAGAAATTGTGTCCCTTTACTATGATTTTCTTGGGGCAAGTCTTTAATGCCTGACTGCTTGCTCTCTGACTTGCTGTATGAGCTCTTTTTTTTTTTAATATATTTTACTGATTTTTTACAGAGAGGAAGAGAGAGGGATAGAGAGTTAGAAACATCAATGAGAGAGAATCATTGATCAGCTGCCTCTTGCACATCCCTTACTGGGGATGCACCCGCAACCCACATACATGCCCTTGACCGGAATCGAACCCGGGACCTTTCAGTCCGCAGTCCGATGTTCTATCCGCTGAGTCAAACCGGTTTTGGCAAGCTCTTAATGTAGGCACTTTTAAATGTATAATCTTCCAAAAGGCTAACCGAACTAATTCTTGTCTCTATTTTTTGCTCAATAATGGGAAAATGTTTCTTTTGTTTAGATATAGATGCCCTTGTAGGAGGGGAAGTTGGAGGTTTGGAGTTTGGCAAGCTGCCATTTGGTGCCTGTGAAGATCCTATAAGGTGAGAATTTCAATCTATTTGAATTATGGGGCATCACTTTAAAAATCATATTAATATTGATTTTACTGTGCTTTTTAATGTAGCCTCCTAGAATGAATATAGTACTGGATTCAGACCTATGACTAACAATCTGTTCATCTTTTTATTTTCTCTCTGTAACTTAAGTAATAAGAAGCTTTAAAATAATACATAAAATGTATATAATACCATTTATTGATTTTCCTTATAGAAGTGATTCTTGGTCTTCTTTTTGGGAAACATTTGAAATATTGAAAACAGATTGTGAATGTTATATGTAACAAACTTTTATATATCAATCACCCATGATTAACATTTACATTTTTCATGACCACTTTTTTCAAAATGTACAAATTAAGACTTAAGTTTAAAACTTAAGGCATAAGGGTGACCTCTTAGGTTACCCACCTTCTTTTCTAAAAGAGCTACCGAACTTTAAGAAAAAATTGTTTTACAAGAAAATGTGGGGCTTGGAAAGTTTAATCATCAATAATAAAATATTTGGAAAATATAAACAGTGGTGATTTAGAAGCTATCTTACTAAGTTAAACTATTTGGTTAATGAAAATATATATTGTATTTATTTTATATATATATATACATTCTTAATAATCTCACATAGAGTTAGAAATAATAATACTCTAAAAATTACTCAGGAGGCTGAAACCGGTTTGGCTCAGGGGTAGAGTGTCAGTCTGCGGACTGAAAGGTCCCGGGTTCGATTCTGGTCAGGGGCATGTACCTTGGTTGCGGGCACATCCCTGGTAGGGGGTGTGTAGGAGGCAGCTGGTCGATGTTTCTCTCTCATCAATGTTTCTAGCTCTCTATCCCTCTCCCTTCTTCTCTGTAAAAAATCAATAAAATTTTTTTTTTTTTTAATTACTCAGGAGAAGAAAAAATGAGTATCTTTTATAATTATTTTTTTATTACATGAGCTGGGCATAATGCTAACTGAGGAAGATACAGAGGTAAATAAATAGACTGGTATTTGCTGTCTAGTTGAAGGAAATAGACTTGAAATAATCACCTAAATAAACATAAAATTTGAGGGATAATTGAAGGAAAAGTACAAGTTGTAATGACAGTAAAATTAGGAGCTAGTTTAGATTGGGGCACCATCAGGATAGTGTTCTCAAAGAAAGTATATTTAACTTAAGTCTCAGTTAGGGGAGGACTTACGCAGACAAAGAGTTAAGAACGACCATTCCAGGTGGCAGGAAGGCCTGTAGGAAAGAGTTTAGCTTGTATATTGTAGGAAATGCAAGATGGCCAGCGTGAAATTGTATATGGTGACTTACAGATAGATTTATCACCCTTCAACTGACTCATTCATTTGAATTTTGCTTAGTGAAAATTTAGGGGGAAAGAACAAAATTGACCTGGTAGTAGAAATTTGAAATAATTAGTTATTAAATATTTCAGATTTTATATGTGATGAGTCTGTAGAGAAACAAATGATTAAAGAATGCAAAAATGAATTGGGGGTAAGGTAATACATATGGTAGACCAGTTAAATCAAATGGTGATTAGCAAATGTTGTGGGAGCTATGCTTTTAAAAAGGAGTCTTTGGCAGTGGAAGAGGAAATGAAGAGGCTTTTTTCAGTGTCCATTCTTCTTGTCAAAGAAACTGTTCTGTAGTTAGAGGGAGAGGAGAGGACATAGTGATAAATGTTTAGGAACTGAACCTGAGGTTACTACATAAAATCATTCAGGAGCTTATAGTTTTTTTCTTTTTTCTTTTTTTTTTTTAATAAATTTTTATTGTTCATATTATTACAAATGTTCCTTCCCCCCCCTTCCCACCCCATCCTCTGCCCTTTCCCCACCCCCCATTGTCCTCATCCATAGGTGCACAGTTTATGTTCAGTCTCTTCCCACATCCCCCTCTCCCCTTTTCCCCAAGAATCATCAGTTCACGCCCCTTCCATTCCTCTGATTCTATTATATTCAACAGTTAATATTGTTCCTCAGATTTTTTTTTTAATTTCCTTGGTTTTTAGATTCACTTGTTGATAGTTAAGTATTTGTTGTTCATAATTTTTATCTTTATTTACTTTCTCTTCTGAAAGAACCCCCTTCAGCAATTCATATAAGTCTGGTTTGGTGTTGATGAACTCCTTTAGCTTTTTTTTATTAGTGAAGCTCTTTATCTGACCTTCGAATCTGAGTGATAGCTTTGCTGGATAAATTATCTTTGGCTGTAGGTTCTTACTATTCATCACCTTGAATATTTCTTGCCATTCCCGTCTGGCGTCTGGCCTGCATGGTTTCTGTTGAGAAGTCAGCTGACAATCGTATAGGTGCTCCTTTATAGGTGACTACCTGCTTTGCTCTTGCTGCTTTTAATATTCTCTCTTTGTCTTTTGCTCTTGGAATCTTAATTATGATTTGTCTTGGTGTGGTCCTCTTTGGATTCCTTTTATTTGGAGTTCTGTGGGCTTCCTGGACTTGTAAGTCCAATTCTTTCCCCAGGTGGGGGAAGTTTTCTGTCACTATTTCTTTCAGTATGTTTTCAATATCTAGCTCTCTCTCATCTTCTGGGACCCCCATAATTCTGATGTTGGATCGTTTGAAGTTGTCCCAGAGGTTTCTTACATCATCTTCAATTTTCTGGATTCTCTTGCCTTCTAGTTTCTGCAGAGGAGTGTCTTCTGGCTCTTTATGTTCCAAATCTTTGACTTGATTCTTGCGATCTTCTATTCTGTTTTTAGGACTCTGTATAATATTTTTTATTTCAGACAATGTATTCTTTATTTCCTGTTGATCCCTTTTCATATCCTCATAAGTCTCATTTATTTTATCGGCCTTTTCTAGGAAACTCTTGAAAAACCTTATAAGTGTGGTTTTGAATTCTATATCCAGTCGCTTTTTGTCCTCCATTTCTTTCGTTTGTGATCTATTTGGTTTAGGCATTTTCGCAGGCAGCTTTCCTGATGGGGCAGGGTTTCAGGGTGGAGCCTACAGCTTTGGCTTCCGTCAGCCCCGCCCTATGCGACTCCTGAGACTCAGGGTCCTTGAGAAAGGCGCCCTCGATTTTCACCTGCTGCCAAACAGTCTAGTCCCTCCCCCAATGAGCCCGGTATTGGGGTTCAGTTCAGTTGGAAGTGGAGTTGGAGGTGGCGTTCAGAGCAGACTGGAGCCCCTGTCTCCTTCCTACCTGGGCAATCCCGTGGCACAGCGGCCGTCCCTTCTCTGCAAGATGCCGCCGCCGCCGGGACCTCCTTTCGCCGCTTCCCCGGGGTTCCGCCTTACAGCCCAGCTCCCTCTGTGTGAGCCTGGGTCCCCGGGGTCTGGCCTAGAACTGGGGTTCAGAGCAGTAGGGGGCCGGCGCTGTCGGAACGTTTATCTCCTTCCCGCAAGGGAACGCCCGCCAGGCACTCCGCCTCCCTCCTCTCCGGCTCCGTCCTCTCCGCAGGCTTTTACAGCTCCTCCGCGCTTCCTTCTGGTTATCTCCTTGCTTCTTGTTGTAGAATTTCCATTCAGTCGACTTTCCTGTAGTTCTGGGTAATGTCCATTTTATATTTTAGTTGTATTTTATTGAAATTGTTGCATGCGGCTGCGGCTAGGTGCCTACCTGAGCAGCCATCTTGGATTCACAGGAGCTTATAGTTTTAAACTCTAATCTTCTTCTTTGGAAAGATAGTTGGTAACTCAAATGTTTAATTGGAATCATTATAGGATCGAGGCTTGGAAAATAGGTTGAGCCAAGGGTGTTTAGTTGCTCAGTTCATAACTGAGGTTACGCTGCATTATTGTGGACAGTTGGCCCTACTTTCACGGTGAATTCTAAACCGTACTTGTGGATTCAGTCTCCGACTGGAGTTGCCAATTAGTTGAGCACCACCAAAGATCAGAGAAATAATACAGGCAGTCCTTGGGTTACAGAGGATTTGACGAACATTGTTTTGTGGTTACATCACGTTCTCTCATTTATTTTTTTATTTTTTTAAATATATTTTATTGATTTTGTACAGAGAGGAAGGGAGAGAGAGTCATCGATCAGCTACCTCTTGCACACCCCCTACTGGGGATATGCCCGCAACCAAGGTACATGCCCTTGACCGGAATCGAACCCAGGACCCTTCAGTCCCCAAGCCGACGCTCTATCCATTAAGCCCAACCGGTCTTGGCTCTCATTTATTTATTAAAAATAAAAGTTCCATCATTTTGACGTATATATGCTTTATGTTTTTTATTATTTATTATACCACAAGTAAAGGTCAGGAATTGTTTTCTTTTAATTTTTCTTTTTACTGTTTCACTTCATTACTGCTGTGTATGTGCTCCATTGAGTGACGCTGGTGCTCATGTAGGTGGGTTCTGACTTACGGCGAAAATTGCATACGTCGTGCCATAGGAACGGATCTCCGATATAACCCGAGGACCTACTATAATTGGCTCTTTTTGGCTTCTGTAGTCCCCAAACATAAGAAGTGAATTTAGAATCTAGATAGGAAAAAGAATTTCACTAAATTCATAATCCCACCATTCATAGGAGATCACCGATAACAGCTTGCTATGTGTTCTTCCAGTCACTTTTTTCTATGTGTGAATTTGGTGTGTATATATGCATGTGCAATAGGGGTCTGCAAGACTACCCTCAGGTCAGTGATTTGTTAGGAGGACTCATGGAACTCAGCGGTTGTGCTTGTGGCTATGATTTATTACAACAAAAGAATACAGTGGGGAGAAATCAAAGGAAAAAGGCACATAGGGTGAGATTCAGAGCAAACTAGTCACAGCTTCATCTCCCAGTGTAGTTACACAGGACACATTTAATGCTCCCAGTAATGCATTGTGACAGGTGAAAGGTTATCTACCAAGGAAGCTCATTAGAGGCTCAGTGCTTAGGGTTTGCTTTTTATTCTTTTATCCTGACCAAAGGATATGGCTGTTGTTTTGTTATGTTTTTATATTTTTAATTGATTTTTTGGGAGGAGGAGAGAGAAAAAGAAACATCAATGTGCGAGAGAGACATTGATCAGTTGCCTTCCAGGAATACTGTATGCCCCAAACAGGAATATTACCTGCAATCTAGGTATGTGCCCTGACCGGAAATCAAACCTGCAACCTTTGGGGATATGAGACTACGTTCTAAACAACTGAGCCACCCAGCCAGGGAAATGCTTGGGGTTTTTAACTGGGGCTGGTCACATAGGCACTCTCTACCTAAAATATATCAAAAAGAAAGTAGAGCCCTAACTGGTTTGGCTCAATGGGTAGAACAAATGAACGGACTGAAGGGTCCCAGGTTCAATTCCGGTCAAGGGGGATGGGGCAGGGCTGCACTCCCCACCCAGTCACTTCGCACAGTAGGAGGCCAGACTGTGTAGTGTTTACTATGTGCACTGATCCATATTATAACATGAATCACTGCTTCATTGTTTTTTATAGCTGTATAATATGCCATTGTGTGGATATACCACATTTTCTTTATCCATCAGTTGATAGACATTTGGATTATTTACACTTTTTGGCTGTTTTATATATGCACACACATTAAAGCTTTTGGATACATTTTATGTTTTGTTTATTTTTAGTGAACTCCACTTAGCAACTACATGGCCTCACCTGACTGAAGGTATCATTGTGGATAATGATGTTTATTCGTAAGTATGTTAAGAGTTATGCATTGAGACTCAGAATATTTCAGTAGAATAAATTAACTGCTAATGGTTAGCAATTTTCTTTATATCAATTCCTGATAAGGTTGATTTTTCTATTTTTTAAATATCACTCTTAAGACTGATGAATATGTATTAAAGACATGTTTTTAAGCTACTGACTTTGGGGATGTGATCCTTAGCTCAGATATAATGAACCGTTTCAATCTTACTTGGTTCTAGCAAAGATATATCTAATCAGTGTGGGATTTAGTACATAATTCTGTTAAACTTTTCTTAGCTGATTAGAAGCATTTCATAAAGTGCTTTTAAGAGATGATGATCATCAGAAAGTGTGGAAATAATATTTGATCTTTAAATGTCATAAATAACATCCATGTCATATACTCCTTACCAATGAAAATGACTTGAAAATTACAGCAAACATCTATCTAGGAAGAATGTGGAGAAAGAGGAACACAGTTTTAGTACCCTCTTATTCCTGATGCAAAACAGGAGAAATAGGACACTTTTTCTTTTCATAATTAAAACAAATGTGATGTATTTGCTGCTGGTGAAAATAACCTGAGTTTTCTTAATCAGGTAATTAAGATGGATATAAAGAAAAAAATAAACACTACCTAGAATCCCATTACTTAAAAAACAGCCAGTTAGTATTTTGGGCTATATTCTTTTTTAATAACTTAGTTATAATTGACATAACATTGTATTAGTTTAAGGTGTAAAATAATGATTTGCTATTTGAATGATAATATATCTTTTTAAAATGCATATTTGCTTATTTCTCATTCCTTTTTTATATTTCCTAATGTGATTTCATTAGATTATCAGTGTACATTGACTACTTTTAAAAGCTTTTTTTGTTATTTCCATTTGTTTTATTTTGTCCAAGCACTTTGATTTCTTAAGATTTTTTAAAACTCATCCAAATGACCTAATGTATCAGAATAATAGTAAGTTTAAGGGAAGTAAAACATAATAGCTTATTTTTCTGTGTATGATTTTATTAGACTGCATTTTTTATAAATTCATGAATATTACAGATGATCATAATTAGGATCTTGTGTATGTGTTTTACATTTTAGTGATTTGGATCCTCTTCAGGCTCCCCATTGGTCTGTTAGAGTTCGAAAAGCTGATAATCCTCAGTGTTTGCTAGGTAAGATGTATTATCTTCCTTTCTTGAAATACCAGATCAGGAACACTGAACTCATTCTTTATACTTTATTTTATCTGTCCAAAAAATATTTTTATTTTAATTTTACATTTTTTACATTTGTAGAAGTGCTTTGTAGATCTACTGAATTATCTCATATACCAACAGGTAGTGGGTTCAGTTCCTTGTCAGGGCACATACCTGGATTGTGGGTTCCATCCCTGGCTCTGGGGTGTGTCTGGTGGGACAGGGGGCAAACGATCTCTCTCTCTCTCTCTCTCTCTCTCTCTCTCTCTCTCTCTCTCTCTCTTTCTCCACACACACACACACACACACACATAAATTTTTAAAAACCTTTGCTAACAGTAGTGAATCCTTATAGTTACTCTTGAATAGCACTAATAGAGTATTTTAGTTTAACAAGTTACACCTCAGAATTATCTGATATTTTCTCATGATCTGAGTTTTAGTCTTAAAATGCATTTATGTCACTTCCTGTTTTTCCTCCTCTGGCATAGTCTGCATCTTCCACTCTAGTTATTGGAGCCCTTTTTGCCTTTTGATATGCCTCCCAACCTGTGGCATATCATGAGAAGAACATTGATTTTACGATGCTACCCTCTACTCACCCCCCCAGGTCTTCACACCCTATTGCTCATGTCCACTGGTGCATGAAACCTGTGCACTGGGGGTTGTCCCTCAGCCCAAACTGTACTCTCTCCTATCTAGAATCCCTTGTGGGATGTTGACTGCCGGGATCAGGCCTAAACCGGCAGTTGGACATCTCTCTCACAATCCAGGACTGCTGGCTTCTAACCACTCGCCTGCCTGGCTGCCTGATTGCCCCTAACCACTCCCCTGCCGCCATGATGGACACCTAATCACTCCCCTGCCAGCCTGATCACCCCCAACTGCCCTCCCTTGCCAGCCAGCTTGGGACATTGTGGGGGCGGCCATCTTGTGACGTGAGGGCATGAGGGTCAATTTGCATATCACCTCTTTATTATATAGGAGAAGTTCTTTGGCTTATTTCTTCTTGTCCCCCATAACATCAAGTTATGTCAGTCTGTTCTATGCTTCCATGCTTCTGGTCTTATTTTGTTGGTCAATTCATTTTGTTCATTAGATTCCACAAATAAGTGAGATCATGTGATATTTGTCTTTCTCAGATTGGCTTATTTCACTTAGCATAATATGCTGTCCCGAAGGGTAAGAGATCCATCTTTTATAGCTGCATAGTATTCCATTGTGTAAATGTCCTACAGCTTTTTTTTATCCATTCATCAACTGATGGGCTGTTTCCAAATCTTAGCTATTGTAAATAATGCTTCTATGAACATAGGTGTGCATATATTCTTTCTGATTGGTGTTTCAGGTTTTTTAAGATATATTCCCACAAGTGGGATCACTAGGTCAAACAGAAGTTCCATTTTTAAATTTTTGAGGAAACTCCATACTCTCTTGCACAATGGCTGCAACAGTTTGCATTTCCACTAGCAGTGTTCAAGGGTTCCCTTTCTCCACAATTTGCTAGCACTTGTTTGTTGATTTTTTTGATGATAGCCATTCTGACAAGTGTGAGGTTACATCTCATTGTAATTAATTTGCATTACTCTGATGACTAGTGACTTTGAGCATTTTTTCATATGCTTCTTGGCCATTTGTATGTCCTCTTTGAAGAAATGTTTATTTAGGTCTTCTGCCCATTTTTTAATTGGATTATTTATCTTGCTTTTGTTGAGTTGTAGGAGTTATTTATATATTTTGGATTTTAACCCCTTACCAGATGTATCACTGGCAAATATGTTCTCCCATATAGTGGGTTCCCTCTTCATTTTGAAGTTGGTTTCTTTTGCTTTGCAGAAGCTTTTATTTTGAGAGACCCATTAGTTTTTTGTCTCCTTAGGAGATATATCAGCAAAAATTCTGCTATGTCAGATGTTTGAAATTTTACTGCCTATATTTTCTCCTAAGACTTTATGGTTTCATGCTTTACATTTAAGTCTTTTAAAAAAATATATTTGTATTGATTTCAGAGAGGAAAAGAGATGGAGAGAGAGATAGAAACATCACTGATGAGAGAGAATCACCAATTAGCTGCCTCCTGCATGCCCCCTACTGAGGATTGAGCCCGCAACCCAGGGTCATGTGCCTTTGACTGGAATCAAACCCGGGACTCTACTCTGCAGGCCAACACACTATCCACTGAGCCAGACCAGCTACGGCTATTTAAGTCTTTTAAATTAAAAAAAAAAAAAAAAATTTTAGTGGATTTCAAACTCCAATAGGGTGGCAGTTAGGGAACAAAGACCCCTGTAGCCAAAACTGGTTTGGCTCAGTTGGCTTGCGGATTAAAGGTCCCAGGTTTGATTTTGGTCAAGGGCATGTACCTTGGTTGTGGCACATCCCCAGGAGGGGGTTTGCAGGAGGCAGCTGATTGATGTTTCTCTCTCATCATTCTAACCCTTTATTCTTCTCCCTTTCTCTCTGTAAAAAATCAATAAAAAAAAAAAGACCACTGTATTCATAGGGTAATATTCTTGTTATTCTTGTTACTAGTACAGCTTACTGAGAATAGATACTTTTAGTCTTATTCAGGCACAGAGCAAGGGCTTAATATTACTAGGTGCGGTTTATTTCCTTTTATTCTAGAAGGAATTCTAAGGAAAAAATTTACTATTCTGGGATATGGAGAATAAGGAAGAGCCAGGTTTCCTTTGAAATAGGATTAATTTTTGTCTTGAGTTGTAAATACTGAATGTGTTTTGAAAATTTTTTTCTATATCTTAGTTAATAGCTTTGTGAAAAGGCATGTACTTTAACTTATAGGACTGATTTCTTTGTTAAGTGTCAAAAATTAGTAACATTTTTTTTCTCTGTAGGTGATTTTGTTACTGAATTTTTTAAAGTTTGCCGTCGGAAGGAATCAACTGATGAGATTCTTGGACGATCCACATTTGAGGAAGAAGGGAGAGGTGACTTACTTTTTTTTTTTTTTTTTTTTTTTTTTTAAGATATTTTCAAATGTGAAACCCCTTTTCTTGGGCATGTTTCTAGCAACTGTTTATCTATTTTCTTATTTGAATTAAGTTGGAAAATGAAGTGTTGCCGGACTAGATAGCTGCCATTTCTCTCTAGGTTATACTATAAACCCTGAGCTTGAAGCACTAAGTGCTTCAACCAAGAATGTGAGATATTTGAAAAGCGGGGTTTTAGAGGTTTATTTTTGAAGTCTCCTGGGGAGAAGTAACTTGTGCTACACCTTTGTCAATCTACATGCATATGAAGGTAAACATGAGTATTAAAATTTTATAATTCTGAAACCATGTAACACTAGTAAAAGGAGTGATTGAAATATTTTATGCAGTCTTTGGTTTACTCATCACTTTGATCTGCTAAGGTTGGTGATATAATTTGTATTCATTTCTATTCTTCTAGAAATTGCTGATATAACTCACGCCTTGTCAAAGTTGACAGAGCCAGCACCGGTTCCAATTCATAAATTATCAGTTTCAAATATGGTACATACCGCAAAGAAGAAAATAAAAAAACACAGAGGGGTAGAAGAGTCACCACTGAATAATGATGTCCTCAACACTATTCTCTTGGTAAGCACTAATGTCTTTATATGTCTATATGCATATGCATTTATTCATTATATCTTCAGTCCTTTCTGTGTGGCAGGCACTGGATTGGGAATATAAAATGAGTAAAACAAAGTCCCCACATTCAGAGTTTTCACTGGTGTCTGGGAAACAGTACTTACAATACGTGTTCCATTTGAGAAGTCTGGCAGAGGGGCTGTGAGAGCACAGCAGGGGTGCCCCTGTCTCTGGGCAGAGGCAGTCAAAGAAGGCTTCACACACAGCAACACTTAGACTCCATCTACTTTCTTTCACAGAGAAAGCTTGTGTTACAGTGAATAGTCAGAGGCCTGGGTGTCTCCTAGGTGTAGTGTGGTGGAACAAGCCCAGCCTGGGAGCCTGACTTTGTGATTTGAACACCCATTTGACTTCAGTTTCCTCACCTGTAACTGAGGCTGATAAAACCTTGTGAAGTTGTTGTGAGCATTAAAGGACCTTCTGTTACTTTGCCTGGCATAAAATATGCCTTTGGTACATATTCTTAACTGTAATTGTAGTTATAATCATACTTCTGGCAATTTGTGTATTAAGACAGTCTTGGGAAAAACCTTCCAGAGTAGTACAGTGAAAAGAAGACTGGTCTTATAAACTTCATGTTAATCTTATCACTGTATTAATCTGAACAATGCTCTTGGCCAGATTTTCAGCTTCTATGTCTCTAAGACCTGGGCAGTGTTTCTTAGCTCACACAGTGATATGAGAATAGGATATTGTTTGTAAATGTGCCGAGTTAGTTGGGTTTGGCACACAGTAGTTCCTCTATTTCTAAAATCTGTTGAGTATGTTCTGTAATATGTGGCAAAGTATGCATAGTAAAAGGAATTAAAAATCAACAGTACCACAAAGCACTTGGGAGAAACAGTGATTTAAAAAAAAAAAAAAAAGGACTGAAAGTAAATTTCTGTAGAGAAGGCCCCTTCTTAAGAATGTATTCTTAGAGATGTTATTCCAGTAATATAGCTCACTTATCATATGCACTGCATTTTTCTTTTTTAATCCTACACACAGACACATAAACAAAGACCATGTTGAAAGATAACACTGGTCATTATAGGTTCAGACTGCTTCTTACTTTTTAGGAGAATCGCATAAAATGAAGTTATGTGTCTTAAATATCACACTTTTACTAGTAGCACTGTGCACAAACCCATGTGCCCTTAGCTCTCTGCAGGGCCTGGCTGCACAGTGCCCGCTGCCCAGAGGCTCTCTGAGGCCCAGAGGCCCATCAGTGGCTGGGTGCAGAACACTGCCTCGGTCTATGGAACAAAGCAAGCATTCTGCCAGGCCACTCTCGCGGCCTGCTCTCAGCAGTCACTCCCGCCCCAGGAGACTAGGGGACTCCCATGGGGCTGAGAGAACTGGGCACCACCTTCCTGTTGCTATGGATGTCACCATCTTTGTAATGGAGTGATGGTTAATTTGCATGTTACCCTTTTATTAGATAGGATTATTTCATATATGAAAACCTATAGATAATATAATAACTGACTCTCGTGAATATATGGGCATTTAATTTTTTTTGTCTTATAAGTTTGTCTTTTTTATAATATTAGCACTTTCTTAAAACTTTAATGACCTTGGATGAACCTGCAATCATAGTGAAGAAATTTTGGCTTTGCATTCTGTTTAGTTTACAGAACCAGGTAGTTACTATTAAGAAAAGCCTCTGATTCCTAAAATTGGTTAGTCACTAAAACTGTATCTTTAAAGAAAAATAGAAATATTTTGAGATAATGAAGAACCAACTGGCTAGTATAGTAAGAGCATTTTCACTGTTTTAACAGCATAATCATTAATAAGTCAACTAGTTCCTATATGAGTTCCAAAAATCAATAAATTAGGAAATTTGTTCAACATTGTGATTCTTTCCTTTCTCCCTTAGTTCTTATTCCCTGATGCTGCTTCTGAGAAGCCATTAGATGGAACTTCCTCAATGGACAACAATCCTTCATCAGAAAGTGAAGAATATGTAAGTCCAGTGATCAAAATGCATCAAATTTCTAAGGATTTGCTATATTTCTAGATTAGTAGAATAAGAACCTTTTTATTTTAAAAATCACCTTAGGAAAACATGACGGGCCATCTTGGCCTCCACTTAGAAAATGATCTGCAATAGAACATTGACATATTTTGAGTAGCAAGAACTTTTCTGATAACAATGAAAAAAAGTAACATAAAATACTGTGATGATTGTGGGATTTCCCTCATTTTAGACTTTTTATAAATAATAAGATAAATTTTGCAACAGATTGGTTCCTGTATTTCAAACAAGAAAGTGAGTAAAAAAAATCATTAATATTGCAAAATATGTAAATAAAGTAAATTTTTTTGTTTTCCTTATCTAGGTCTGATAAATTGATAAATGAGAGTTTAAATGACAGATATAGAGAGATATTAGTCTGTTAGAACAGTTATTGTTAAATAGATTTCATAAAGTGAGGAGAAGAGGCAAGAGTTTTACATTTTCGGTTTGCACTGTTCTGAGTTTATCTTCTATTTTTGGTTTTGACAAGTGTGTACTATTTTTAAGTACAGAGTTTTTAAAAGTAACATAAAAATTTGAGTACATCCTGAAGATTCCACAGAAGACACTGAAACTTTAACTTTTGCATCATTAAATTACAGCTTCACTTTTTTGATCCTTGTAGAAATCTTAAAAACATGGAGCTGCCTAAGGACAGTTTAGGTAATAATGTATTAAACATTGATAAAAAACTAGTTTTGGTAGGATAGATTTAATTTTAGTATTAAAATCTTCACCCACACAGTTTTTGAATATGCATATAAATATGTTGTTAACAAGTTTTGCTTTGTTTCTATTTTGTTTAATTTAGAATCTCTACAATCAGTTCAAATCTGCACCATCTGACAGTTTAACATACAAATTGGCTTTGTGTCTTTGTATGATCAATTTCTACCATGGAGGATTGAAAGGAGTGGCACACCTCTGGCAGGAATTTGTTCTTGAAATGCGTTTCAGATGGGAAAACGACTATCTGATACCAGGGTAATAATTTCAATATCTAGTTGTATAGACAGGTGTTTGTTGGCAGCATTTGACTTTTGAATCATTAATTCTCGTCTAGGAATTCTACCCTAAGAAAATGGTAAGAAACTTTGGACATGTTTATGTTCAGAGGTGTTTGCTGCAGCAAATTTAAAATCCTATCTAATAAAGAGAGAATATGCTAATTGACCCTCTCACCACCACAAAGGTGGTGGTGCCCACAGCCAATAAGGAGGAAATATGTTAATTGGCTCACCCTCAAATATGGTGGTGCCCACAGACACAAGATGATGGCACCCAGTCCCCTTAGCCCTGCCGGGGTGCCAGGCACGGGGCAAGGCCGGGCTCACCTCCAGACGGGTCTAGCTGCTCTGCACACCTGCCTCCGGAGTCCCCCAGTCCCCTCATCCCCACAGCTGCCCAGGGCCGGCCCAAGGTGCAGGCATGCCTCAGATGGCAACTGCCCTGCTGCCCAGGGCTGCCAGGCTCAGGTAACCAGGGCTGGCTGAGGCTTGTGTTGCCGGCAGTGGCAGCAGCAGAGGTGTGATGGTGCATTGCCTTCCCCTGACTGCAGGTCATCTCCCCTCTGACCCCCCACCCCCAAGAGCTCCTGGACTGTGAGAGGGGAGCAGGCTGGGCTGAGGGGCCCCCCACTTTCAGTGCTTATATAATTTTCATGCACTTGGCCTCTAGTAGGGGAGAAAAAGGTTGAAACAACCTAAGTGCCAAATATTAAAGAATGGTTAAGTAAATTATTATATATCTCTACAATGGAAAGTTAAAGACCCATTACAAGTTTTTCCTCGAGAATCTCTAATAACATTGAAAATGATCCTAATATTTGTAGTAAAGTAGAATATAGTATTGCATATACTATTTTCAATTATGCTGATGTTTATGTAATATTGTACAGCAAACTAAATGGAAAGAAATACAGCCAAATGTCAAGAGTAGTTTTTCCAGGTGTGAAATTATATTTTTATTTTGTTCTTTCTATATTTTGGCATTTTCTAAATTACATGTTGTAAACATTTTATATTTGGAGAGATAACATCTAAAGTTTATAAGTTCAGATATTAAACATTACCTGTGAATTTTTGTATAATTTATATTGACATTTCACTTAATCACAGAGGAGAGTTTAGTTAGTATAAATGTTGATTACTGCGAATCTATCCTTATTAAGGGAGGAGACTCATGATATAAGTTATATAAAATGGTGACTAATCCAAAAATGTTTTTACTCTTATGTCATTTGCCAGTTTCTCCTTAGCTGATTATTGGTAACTTAGTGGTTTAGAATTAGAGGCAATCCAGACAAAAGAGAAGTGGAGATTGGTTGTTTTATATTGAGAATTCACTATAGTAATAGAGAACTAAAAAGATAGTCTAATCTGTTTTGAGTAGTATGAAATACTGTATGCCATCTACTTACTGAGGTGGATTTAGAGACTTTTTATTATAAGTTTCTATTAGCTTGAGTGCTATCACTACTTTATTTTACTCTTAAGCTTAGAAATATCTGTTATACTTGCTATTGGTAATTTGTATACTAGGAGGTTAAAATAAATTCTGATCTTTTAATCTTATTTGCCCCATCTCAGATATCTTCCTTATATAGCTCTAGTTTGAATTTCTTATCAATATGGCTAAAATTTGTGGAAGTATAAAAACTATGTATATCTGCAGCAATTTTACTAAAACTAACCTTTGTTTTCTCATTGCTTTATTTGATAGATTAGCAAGTGGCCCCCCAGATCTAAGATGCTGTTTACTACATCAGAAACTGCAGGTAAAGATCTTTCAGTGGCAGCATTTAATGTGATCTTTAGTCAGCTGGAGCTTGCTTCTGATTATAGGCCATTCTTTTTGTGCTGCTGTCATTCACAAGTTGTAGGGGAAGGGTGGAGAATGAAAATTAAATATTCATCAGTGGGTTGATTTTTATTTTACTGTAACGAATTCAAATATATATATGTCTGTTTTCTTAAGATGTTAAATTGTTGTATTGAAAGAAAGAAGGCACGTGATGAGAAGAGAAAAACAAGTATTTCAGATAATGTGACTAATACATATCCAAGGGATGCTGGAAGATCTGGAGACCAACTGGGGCCAGATAATCTAAAAGATATGGACAAGGAAAAGGGAGAGGTGGGAAAATCTTGGGATTCTTGGAGTGATAGCGAGGAAGAATTTTTTGAATGCTTAAGTGATACTGAAGAATTTAAGGGAAATGGACCAGAGAGTGGCAAAAAAGGAGGACTTAAGGAGATGGCAAATTTAAAGCCAGAAGGACGACTCAACCAGCACGGCAAACTTACACTGCTGCATAATGGAGAGCCTCTCTACATTCCTGTAACCCAGGTAGGGCATGGACTGGCACATTAAATTTTAATTTTTAAAAAATACCTGTTGTTTATATAACTTCATTCTAGTAGACGATTGCTTTGGATAGGGGCAATTCTTTAAACAGTCTATGTTCAGAGATCTAAGATGTGAATTCTAAATAATGAACTATTGGTGCTTTTGGGTCTACTATTTCTCAAATTGAGAAATGTTTTGAAATTTAAATAGATAGTAGTTCATATTGTATAAGGTGATATATTATTTCTTAAACTGAGTAGTGAGTACTCAGGTGTTTAAAAAAACACACCAACAATCCAAAATCTGGAGGGGAAAGAAAGTAGGATTCTCACCAAGGGGGATGTAATAATCTTATTTGTTGGGGTTGGAGAGACCCTGAAAATCATATTTATTCTTTTTAATTTGGTACGTTTCTATATAGGTTCCAGAAAACTTGTGAATTTCTCTGAAATTTTTTCCGTACATCCCTTGGGACTACTAGAGCTGAGATAATTGTTCTTTGTTCTATTTTTATAGCCCTGCTTTGTCCTCACAAAGGCTGTTGCTGAGCTTTGTCCTTTTGTGCTTCACAGGAGCCAGCACCTATGACAGAAGACCTGCTAGAGGAGCAGTCGGAGGTTCTGGCTAAATTGGGCACCTCCGCGGAAGGGGCTCACCTCCGGGCACGCATGCAGAGCGCCTGTCTGCTGTCAGACATGGAGTCTTTTAAGGTGGGTCACACTGTCAGGGCTCAGGATTCGCTTTTGAGTTATTCTGGGATGAAGCTGTGAAAGTCACTCAATAAGGTGGTATGAAGACCTGAATGTCTTTTTTATTAAAAGCTTTTATTTTATTAGTAGTTAATAAGACCTGCTTCTATCCCCTAAAGGTTATATTCAAAGTTGCTTCTTGAGTTTAAAAAAAGAAAAAAACAATCTTTGAATAATAGTTGAAAGTTGAGACTTGACTAATTGGGCTGTCTTCTTTCCTCCTTTGTGTGTGTTCAGCCAATATCATGCAAGGCTTTTAGGAAACCCTTAGGCTCTAACGTAGGTTCCTTTGTTCAGTAGGCCTTTGACATCCTACTTTGTGACTTGCACTGTGATTAGATAAGTAAGAAATACAGTGGTTATTCTCAGTGACAGTCTGAGGTTGTGTAAATAAGTGTGTGATGAGTTCTTTTATGAAGGTAGGTCTAAGAGGGGACTAACTCCACTGAGTGGGTCATGGTAGGTTTCTCTGATGAGTCCCCATTTAGGATGAGTAGGCATTTGCTCCCTACTCATTTTAGGCCTGTATCTAGCCATAGAGAATTCGGAGAATGGTGACATGTAGCTTGCTAACTGAAAAACTCAGGATGAAGAAAAGTCTCTATTATTATTATTATTATTATTATTATTATTACTTATTTTTGAAAGAAGAGACAAATCTATGTATATATTTTTGAAAACCAAGTGGGTAGTTCATTGGACCACAGGGCTTCCTTTCTACTGCTGATCCCCAGAATTGTCTCCCAGGCACAGACTTTCCTTTTTACTCCGTCGCACCGTGATGGTCCCCACGGCCCCATTCTACACCCCTCCTCAGTCCTGCTCTGTGCTATAGGCCAGCCTGAGTGTGAGTTTCTCCAACATAAACATCCATGAGAACACATGCCACTTTCATCTTCCCAGCTAGCAGGTTTGTGACAAAAAAGGAAGCTCTTATTCCCTGCTTATTCCCCCCATAGTTACTAAAAGAAAAACCTTTAATAAACCTCTTAAGAGCTGCATATTTTCCTTAGAGACAAACAATACATAAAATGTGTGAGTTCTTTTGTGTTGTGAAATAAGAAAGAGAGATGTGTTGTTTTAAAACAAACAGTTGGCACCGTGGATAAATAGAAGTCAGTTGGGTCCTGGTCAGTGTGGCTCAGTTGGTTGTAGCATTATCCCATAACACCAAAAGGTTGCAGGTTCAATTCCTGAGAGAGGGGAAAGTCATTTGGCTCTCAGGGCATGTGTTAAATCAAAAAGTAAATAAGAGACTTGGCTTAGGGAGTGTGTGCACAGTAGGAAGTTCTAGCCTGCCCAGTGGCTCTTTTGTTGTTGTTCTTTTAATCTTCACCCGAGTTTATGTCATTATTTTTAAAGAGAGAGAGAAACATTGATGTGAGACAGAACCATCGATCAATCGCCTCCTGTAATCACCCCAGCCAGGGGTGGAATCTGCAACCTAGGTATGTCCCCCACCTGGGAATTGAACCTACAATATTTTGGTGTATGGAGTGACGCTTCTGGCGGGACAGTCCTGAATCTTTCCAAAAATTGGGACTTTTTTAAAATGCTGCGGGACGCGGACAAATTGTTAAAAATTGGGATGTCTGGTCACCTTACACTTAACCTCTGAGCCACTCTGGCCAGTTACCTGACCTCTAGCTACCTTCATATTCATCCTACCACAGTATCCTTACAGAGGCAAGTACAGAATGAAATCCAAATTGGAACTGTTCCAGAAAACTTCTCTTCAAGTCTGCTTGCATTTGGTCTAAGGTTAATTTAATTTAAAAAGAAAGAAATGACCTTCCGCATAGCACTTCTTTGTTGATGTTTACATGACTTACTATTTCAGGCAATTAAATATAGTACTCATACAGGAAGATTATGTTGTGGTAGAGAATATAACCAAAAGGTATGTGTTTAATGTGTGTACACGTATCCTTTGAGTATTAGGGGATAATACATATACCCATCCTTAGTATTTTGCTAATATATTACTGTACACTTGCAAAAGAGAACTCTGTGCCTTACTACTAACACTGGGAAGCCTCTACTTTTTTCTATTTTCTTTTTTTAAATATATTTTATTGATTTTTTACAGAGAGGAAGGGATAGGGATAGAGAGTTAGAAACATTGATGAGAGAGAAACATCGACCAGCTGCCTCTTGCACACCTCCTACTGGGGATGTGCCCGCAACCAAGGTACATGCCCTCGACCGGAATCGAACCTGGGACCTTTCAGTTCATAGGCTGACGCTCTATCCACTGAGCCAAACTGGTTTCAACGGAAGCCTCTACTTTTATTCCAGACTTGAATGTGTAATTACTTAAAGGATTTTGAAATACACCCTTGTAAATTCTATAGAATTATTCACTGAATAAAAGTTTAATTAGTTAGATTTCAGAAACCTGAACAATAATAGTTTGAATTTCAATTCCTCAACAGTACAAAAGCAGTTTATATGAGAGTAATGTTGTACATAAAGCACAAGGATTTGATGGCTGAATAGAACATTTTTGAGGTTAGCTGATATTTACTGCAGTATTGATTTATCGAGGGGGGAAAAGAGCAGAATTTTTCCTTTATTGTGTTGTTATTCTTTCATGTTGTGTATTATATAATTTACATGACCTGAAAACTTTATTTGATACTTTTCTAAGTTTTTAGTAGTTATACTATAATTTTAAACTATGTTACTTAACTGTTTAAGACAGTGGTCAGCAAACTGCGGCTCGCGAGCCTATTGTGGCTCTTTGACCCCTTGAGTGTTCTAACGCCACTTCTTCAAAATAGACTTGCCCAGGCCGAAAACCAACTTCTGCCCATGGACCACGAAGTTTCAATCGCACTGTACATGCGCACCCACATGTGATATTTTGTGGAAGAGCCACACTCAAGGGGCCAAAGAACCACATGTGGCTCATGAGCCGCAGTTTGCTGGCCACTGGTTTAAGAGAATTATTATCACTTTACATAAAATTTTTATTTCCAAATTCTTCAAATGGAAGTATTTTCTTTTTCTATAAAATAGAGACAGCAAAAATAAAATGCTTTTGGTATTTTAACATTTGATCTCTTTTCGAAGTGACACCCAAACTCATGTCACATATTAGATTTTATAAAGATTAGGTAGGCTTTTTGTGAAGGGGAAAGTATGATCTTGCAAACAGGTTTATCAGTAACTGTTGATTTTTATTTGGTTCTGCTGAATTTTTGGCCTTGATTTAGGCAGCTAATCCAGGTTGCTGTCTGGAAGACTTTGTGAGGTGGTACTCACCCCGGGATTATATCGAAGAGGAAGTGATCGATGAAAAGGGAAACACGGTTCTGAAAGGAGAACTGAGTGCCCGAATGAAGATTCCAAGCAACATGTGGGTGGAAGCCTGGGAAACCGCTAAGCCAGTTCCTGCCAGAAGACAAAGGAGACTCTTTGACGATACACGGGAAGCAGAAAAGGTAACTGAGGTTTGGCTGTCTAACACTGAAGTGGTAGTTATTGTTCTAGCATTTAAAAAACTCACTATCAGAGACATGAGATCTTTGGACACTCTTGAGAAGCAAAGCATTGGAACTTAATGAGCTTTTTATGTACCTACTATTTATATTCAAGATTTCAGAATTAGTTGCAGTTAGCCCAAAAATAAAATATCCATATTTTATAGAGAATGCTTACCATTGGACTGTCTCATCTCACAGCATATATCAAAAGCCTTAAAAATGGCTACGTCCTTTGACCTAGCAATTTTACCAATAAATTTATTAAGGAAATAATTATTTTTTAGTGAAAAGTGGGTATATAACCAAAGTTACCAAAAATAAGCTTGGTTCAGTAAATTATGGTATGGTCATTTAGTGAACTGCTTTTCAGTTACTAAAAAGTATTTGAAATTCTAATGAATAGTGGTAGCTGCCTGATAGCAAATTGCCCCATATACCCTCCTACCCACCATCCACTGGCCTCCCAAATAATCCCATATACTTAATAAGTAAATAAATCCATGCCTTAAGCATTACTAGGAGACAGAGATTACAGTGACCTTCAAATTAAAACTATAAGTAGAGAAATAAGCCAAATTCCAATGGAATTCCCATTGCTGCAGGTGCCACGTCCAGCACAGCTAGAGTTCAGGATCTGAAGAAGGGGCCGTTGCGCACAAATGAAAACTTAGACAAGAAATAAGAATTTAGAAGGCATGTGGGGGAGGGGGCAGGTGGAAATCTCTCTCTAGTGGAAAAGCTCACAGACTTCTGCCAGTCTGCTTTTTATGTACTTGAATACACATTTGCCCTTTAGGAATGGATACAGGCATATCAGAGGTAGAATTTGGTAAACAGTAAAAGGATTATCAGGGAAGGGAATTGCTTTGAGGCATTCAGCCAACAGCAGGGCAATATTATAAAGGACAGCAGAGGATGAGGGAGGTTTGTAAGTTATTTTTTTTATTTATTGATTTGGGAGAAGGAGGATGAGGGAGAGAGGGATAGAAATATCAATGATGAGAGAGAATCATGCCCCTTACTGGGATTGAGCCTGCAACACAGACATGTGCCCTAACCAGGAATGAAAACGTGACCTCCTAGTTCACGTTATTTAAGATTTCAGAATTAGTTGCAGTTAGCCCAAAAATAAGATATCCATATTTTATAGAGAATGCTTACCATTGGACTGTCTCATCTCACAGCATATATCAAAAGCCTTCCAATGGGTCTTTTTGCATTCATATGCTAACTACTGTTGGTTTTAGTCTAAGGCAGCAGGAGAGCATGGACAGAGAGTTTCAAACAGAGCTGAGGGATACAGAAGACTGACAGAGCACAGAGTCACCCCTGAAAGAGAGAGCTTAACACTGGGCACCAAAGTACTTGGTACAGGTAGAGCTTGATAGTTCACAGCATGGCTACAGGGAGAGGTTTTAGCTTAAGCTGGATGACAAGTGAACACTTAGAAAAATGTCTTGGGAAACCAAATATATAGAGAATCATTGATACCCCTTAAAGATAAAGCAATGATGGGAAAGAAGGAAATGAGAGGGAAATTAAGGATCATGCAGAAGTGAAAGACAAACAAGGCCTGGCCACTGTGGCTTGGTTGAGCATCGACCCATGAACTAGGAGGTCACGTTTTCATTCCTGGTTAGGGCACATGCCTGAGTTGCGGGCTCAGTCCCAGTAAGGGGCGTATTCTCTCTCATCATTGATATTTCTATCCCTCTCTCTCTCATCCTTCCTCTCCCAAATCAATAAACAAACAAAAATAAATAAATAACTTACAAACCTCCCTCATCCTCTGCTGTCCTTTAAAGAACTGCAGAAAAAGGGGCACTTTGAAATTGTGGCATGACTAGGTATACTAAAGAGCAGATCACATCCATACAAAACTATAAAAATAAAAAAAAATGCAGCCAATCAGTTAGCTAATAAAAACATTTTCCAGAAAGTTGACCATGAAGCAGAAAATTGTTAACAACACTCCATATATACTGAATCAGATATCTGCATGCATGGGGCATATGAAACAAGCATGGGGCATATGAAAAATCACTTTTAATCAGAAATACTAAAACCAAGAGCAAAAATGGACCCCAAAACTGCAAAGTAGTGAAACCACAGCTGGTTTAACTCAAGATAGAAATCGAAGAAAAAGCCGAAACCGGTTTGGCTCAATGGATAGAGCGTCGGCTTGGGGACTGAAAGGTCCCGGGTTCAATTCCGGTCAAGAGCATGTACCTTGGTTTCGGGCATATCCCCAGTGGGGGTTATGCAAGAGGTGGCTGATCAATGACTCTCTCTCATTGATGTTTCTAACTCTCTCTCCCTCCCTTCCTCTCTGTACAAAATCAATAAAATATATTTTTTTTAAAAAGAAATCAAAGAAAAAGACACCATATCAAAAATAAAAACTAAATGACAAGAGGCCCAAGAGAGAGTAGATTTTATTTAAATATAATATTTAAAAGGCATCAAGAAAAAGTGGCAAAAGGACTAAAGGGGGTTGGAGAGAAAATAGTAGAAATGGAAAATTGGAAAAGTAGAAATAATACTCATTTTATCGGAGTCCTTGAAGAAAAATCAAAACACTAGCCTTGGTCAGGTGGCTCAGTTGGTTGGAACATCATCCCGCACACCAAAAGGTTGTGGATTTGATTTCTGGTCTGACATATACCAGTCAATGTTTCTCTCCCTCCCCCTCCTCCTCCTCCTTTTCTTCTCTCTCCCTTCCTTCCATCCTCCCCCTCCCCCCCCCTTTTCTTCTCCCCCCTCCCCCCAAAAAAAACCACCATAAAAATATATCCTCAGGTGTGGATTAAAAATAAAAATCAAAATGATAAATGTTTAAAACTGCAATCCAAGAATATTTTTTAAAAAGAAAAAGGGCATCACTTGTGCTAAATAAAAGCCAGTGACATCAGACCTGGTTATTACCTTATCTCCTCTCCCAAAAACAATCTTAATCAATTGGCCACGCACCAATCTGTCACCTGGGCCCTCTACCCCCATAGAAGAGTCAATCTGTGTGATAAAAATGCTATATTTTTTAAATCAGAAAAGCAAAACAATTTCCATTTTAGAAAACAAAAACAAAACAACCAAACCAAAAAAATCAGTGGAGGGTACCTAGAAATGTTTAGAAATAATAAGTGAGAAAAATAGGTCACAAACAGTATTTTAGACACTTCATTTAATACATTATGTGTGCTTGGTATTTTGAAAAATTCTGCAATGAAAATGTTACACCATTAATAATTCTATCTGTAGGTGGTATGATTTACAGGTAGTTTTTATTTTCCTTGTATTTTTCTAATTCAATGCACCTACATATGGAAGTGGGGACGGGATATGAGAATATTGACCCTTATTGAGGACAGAGTAAGCAGTTGTCCTCAGTGACGTTATTCTTACCTTTGGCAGTAGTAGCTATTTGCCTGGAATGGAGGGGTAGACACCAAGAGAAGAGAGCTCTTCTCTACTTTTGTTACAGATGTGAGTGCAGTGGTCCAAAGCAGCATTTTTCAGCCGCAAGAATTTTTAAAGCGTGCAACACCTGACTACTTAGTCAGGGACAGTGACCTCTTTTCTCTTAGATTGTCAAATAAAAAAATGACAACAGCCAACACAATAATAGCTGTCTGGTGTGAATGAATCAAAATTATACCTATAATATTTTTGGTCAGATTCGCAAAAAATATATTTTTTGGTGTGCTGTAGAATTCTGGTAATGAGTTTATATGAGCCATGAGATGAAAAAGGTTGAAAATCACTGGTCCAGAGGATTTTTTGTTTCGTAAATGGCTGCTTTATTCGCAGGCAACTGCATTGCTAATTTGTCTGAGTCTGTGCCTCCTCCAGGTGCTGCACTATCTGGCAATGCAGAAACCTGCAGACCTTGCTCGGCACCTGCTACCTTGTGTGATTCATGCAGCCGTGCTCAAGGTAAAGGAAGAAGGTAAATGTCCGTTTTGATTAGTAATTAGTTCATTTCTAAAATGAAAGTGTATTTTGTCTAACTTATTTAATGATGATTTTGATCTTCTTAACAGAAGGTCTGGAAAACATTTCTTCCGTTAAGAAGATTATCAAGCAGATAATATCCCATTCCAGCAAAGTCCTGCACTTTCCCAATCCAGAAGACAAGAAACTAGAAGTAAGTTGGGTGGACTGTCAGCATCTCGCCAAGTACTCTCTCCTCCCTGTGGGCAGTAATTACTTTCAAGAAACATTTTAAAAGGCTGAGCCTTTCTTTGCTGTTTTCCAATGTATGACTTCCCCTTTTCTACTGTTAGGAAATCATCCATCAAATTACTAATGTGGAAGCCTTAATTGCCAGAGCCCGCTCACTGAAAGCCAAGTTTGGAACTGAGAGATGTGAACAAGAGGAGGAAAGGGAAGATCTCGAAAGGTAATTGCTATTTGACTCGCTTATTTTTGTCTGCAGTAGGAAAATCCACCACTCCTTTAGAAAATTTTAATGAAATGTCAAGATTCTTTGTGATACGCTCCTATTATTTGTAATAAGCATTGGCTAGATTCAGAGAAATAATTATCATGGGATTTGACCTTTACTGTATTTCTGAGTACTTTCTAGTGTTTCCATTGCTCCCACTTGCAGAAGCAAGCCTCCCAGGTCTCTCTTCCTAGCGAAGTCCTTGTTTGCTCCCTGAGCGGTGCCTGCACCTGAGGATCAGCCGTTAACTGTCGCCAGCACTGCTCAGAGCTTTGCTTGCCGCTCTCACTGTTCCTTAACCACAGTCTGAGGGGTTCTGCAACTGTAATTCTGCTCAATATTCATTTAATTTTTAAAAATACCCGTGAGAGCGAAGGTGCATTTTCTCTGCACCTTGCAAATATGTGTGGAGAGTGACCGGGTGGCCTCTCCAGGGGAGGCGAATGCCTGGGCCAGTCTCTTCCCTGGCAGCACCGTTATCAGGGAGCCTTCAGTGTGAGGGCTTGTCTGTTTGTGCCCATTGAAATGACATGTGTTGCTTTAAAGTGTTTCCAAATTAGCTACTTCAGTAGCTTGAATTTGTTATAATGTTAACATCAGCAGCAGCCTTTCCACAAGGAATGGCATTATTGATGCTAGAAAATTAATAGTATATGACAAGGCATTTGCTATAGCTTCTAACAAGATTTTGTTTGAATTTTGTATCTTTTGTTGAGTGAAATTTTCTCCCAGCCTTCTTTATTCTTGAAAAAGCCTTTTTTTTTTTTTCTTCTTTTTTTCTGGATCTACTCTATTCATCAGTTTATTATGTTAACTAGATTCCACATATGAGTGAGATTATGTGATACTTGTCTTCCTCTGACTGGCTTATTTCACTTAGCATACTACTCTTCAGGTCCCTCCATGCTGTTTTAAAGGGTAAAATATCCTTGTTTTAATTGCTGCATAGTATTCCATGGTATAAATGTACCACAGTTTTTTTATCCACTCACCTACTGATGGCGCTTGTGCTGCACTTAGATCTTAGCTATTGTATAATTGCACTGCCATGAACAGAGGAGTGAATGTTTTTTCTGATTGGTGTCTTAGGATATATTCCTAGAAGTGGGATCACTAGGTCAAATGGAAGTTCCATATTTAATTTTTTGAGGAAACTCCATACTATTTTCTATAATGACTGCACCAGTCTGTATTTCCACCAGCTGTACGCTAGGGCTGCTTTTTCTCCACATCCTCACCAGCACTTGTCATTTGCTGATTGTCATTTGTTGATAGTAACCATTCCGACAGGTGTGAGGTGATAGCCCATTGTCATTTTAATTTGCATCTCTGATGATCAGTGAGTTTGAGCATTTTTTCATATGCCTCTTGGCCATCTGTATGTCCACTTTGGAGAGGTATCTATTTAGGTCCTTTGCCCATTTTTTAATTGGATTATTTGTCTTCGTTTTGTTAAGTGGTATGAGTTCCTTATGTATTTTGGATATTGACCCTATATCAATTGTATCATTGCCATATATGTCCTCCGATACAACAGGCTCTCTTTTCGTTGTGTTGATGGTTTCTTTTGCTGTGCAAAAGCTTTTTATTTTGATGTAGTCCCATTTGTTTATTTTCTCCTTCGTTTCCTTTGCCCTAAGAGATATATCTATAAACATATTACTACGAGAGATGTCTGGGATTTTGCTGCCTATGGTTTCATCTAGGATTTTTATGGTTTTCTGACTTACATTTAAGTCTTTTATCCATTTTGAGTTTATTCTTTGTAAGTTGGTGGTCTAGTTTCATTTTTTTCCATGAATCTGTCCAATTTTCCCAGCACCATTTATTGAAGAGACTGTCTTGACTCCATTGTATGCTCTTGCCTCCTTTGTCAAATATTAATTGAGCATAATGGAAAATGCCTTCCTTTTAAATGAGCAGAATGAGCTCTAATCAAGTGAGTCATTTCTAAAATAGCAGTATCAGTGAGCAGGCAGTGCATGCTTGGCGGTTCTGCCTTTGACTCTCTTAGCTCTATTCTACAGCTCTATGATGGACTTGGCAGTACAGTATTTCCAGCACAAAATGGCACAGTTTACACTGCCCAGCAAAACATGCATTTTGTGCATGCACGCACATGTGCACTTATACACCACAAAAAACCAAAGCAGCCCTGACCGCTGGCTCAGTTAATTGAAGTATCATCCCAGGCACCAAAAGGTTATGGTTCGATTACTGGTCAGGGCACATAACCTAGGTTGTGGCTCCAGTCCTCTGTTGGGGCATGTACAGGAGGCAACTGATCAATGTTTCTTTCTCTCTCTCCCTCTACCCCTTCCTCTCACTTTCTCAAATTAATTAAAAAACAAATATATCCTTAAGTGAGGATTTAAAAATATCAATATTTTAAAAAGAATAAAAACAATTAACATGGATCATTGCTTTGTTGTATAAATGAAACTGGGTTTTTGTTATCAACTTTTACTGAATATTTCTTCTTGCACTTTGACACAGATGGGCTTTTCACAAATTTTATGAAAATGCTTAAAAGGTAGTAAGAATTATCATTTGAGTTGATTTTAATTCCAAATATCAATTTATCCTGTTATAAAATCCCACTCCAGCCATGGTAGTTGAGCCAGTATCATTGTGAATGTTTGTCCACAGAATTAATCTGGAGGACTGATGGGAAGTGAGCGGCTCACCTTCTATTCTTTCTCCCCAGGTTTGTGAGCTGCCTTTTAGAGCAGCCCGAAGTGCTGGTGGTGGGCGCGGGAAGAGGACACGCCGGCAGGATCATTCACAAGCTGTTTGTGAACGCACAGCGGGTACGTGAGGCTCCTCTCTGACATGCTGTGGCTTCGCCAGCCCTCTGCCCAGTGGGGCGCTGTTTTGATTCCGACACATGGCTGCTCCTATAGCTGCTGGCCCGGTGTGAGCCTGGGTATTGCGGTCAGATGTTGCTTTCTTAATTTGATAGGGACTCAATGGCCAATGGCCAGTCCTGTGCTGTAGGAAAAAATGTCCCCTACTTTTAAATTAGAATGGGGCTCAGTCTTACTGGTCAGACTCCATGTACAGCAAATGGTTTCACAGCTTAACTATGAAGTTAGTAAATCCAACTGTTTTTATAATGGCGTGGAGGTTTCCTAGGGAGGAGGTGTAGGGTTTCAGAGTTTGGGGATGGAAACAGGCTTCACAGAAGAAGCCTGATTTGAAACATCTTTATCATGACTTCTGCTACGGAAGCACAGGTTTAGAATCAGATTGTACCTTCTGACATCCTAAAGCACTGAGATTGCCATTTTCTTAGAGATGCTGCTAGTTAGCCTTTGTGCTGATGCTCTCTGTCCCTCTCTGTTTATGGGTAAGAAGTGCTGGCATCCCACGGTGACCTCATGTCCGGGCTTGTTAACCCTAAAGTTTCTGTTAGGATATTACCCAGTGCACTGAGTCCCAGGGCCCTTACCTGACACTGAGGGCACTGGAATGACCCAGATTTGAAGGTATGATTCTCAGAATCAAATAAGAAAAATACTTTTAATGGATTTACACAAGGGGTAAAAACTTCATAATCTCCTTTGAGTTTATTTGGAGTATTCTATTTAATATATCAAAATCATGGCCAAATATATTTATCTGAATTTTTAGGAAGAATTAAAACCTGAGGTTATTTATGACGGTAGCTCTTTAAATTTAAAAATTTCCAGTTAAAAACTAAGAATTTTAGTTCCTTATAAATGTGAATTCTAGAAAGCAATAGATAATTACTTTGATTTGTTTTGTTTTTTTTGTCTGGCATGAAAGCAAGAACCAAGTTTGTTTTCACACCCTATGTCTTCTTTGCCTGCTTACTCACCAGATTGCTAATGAGCTCATTTCTTGTTATGAGAAATATGAACTTTCTTTCCTCATGTTGCAAATCTCTCCTCAGTTTCTAAAATTTGTGTAGTAAGAGGATTTAAAACCTGAAGTATTCATATATTTAATGCTGAGAGAGTTATTTGTTTTGAATAGTTAAGCAAAATTATTCTCCCCAAAATGGAAATAGCCTCCAATCTCCCCTCCTCCACCTCCCAGACTATAAGTAAAGACTAATTGTAAAAATTTGGGCAACACAGAAAATTCTAAAGGAATCATTTAAAATCATTTTAATCACATTAAAAATGAATCACATTAATCTTACTCCCCACTGAAGATCACACCAGCATTTAACAAGTAGTATGTATAACAAATATATGTATATTTTATAAAAATAGGACTATATATATATATATATATATATATATATATATGCCTAAGTAACCATTAGGATGGAACAACCAGTCAACCAATCGTTATGATATGCACTGTCCACCAGGGGACAGACACTTAATGCAGATGCTGCCCCTGCTGGTCAGTGCACTCCCATAGCCAACCTCCCTTAGCCCCTCCACCCAACCAGCAAACCTCCCATTAACCCTCTCCCCAGCCAGACAACCTCCTGCAGCCCCATAAGCCTAGATTGCTAGCTAGCCCAAGGGACCCCACCCAGGCATGAATTCATGCACCGGGCCTCTAGTCCTATATAATAAAAGGCTAATATGCAAATTTTCCCTTCAACCAGGAGTTCAACAAGGGGGAGTGGCCGGCTGACCAACTAACCTCCCACATCCCTTCCCCTAAGTCAGCCAGACCCCACCTGTGCACAAATTCATGCACCAGGCCTCTAGTATTATATAATTTACTTTATTATTTTTGATGTCCACACAATATAATTATCTTTCTACATCAATAAATATAAGAATGTATCATCTTTTCAGGGCCTCATCATATAGCCAATCTGAAATTGTTCATCCATCCCACATTACTTCAAACTTCCATACCTTGTGGTGAATGTTTTCAGGGAATTGGCAGACCAATCCATAAAACAAGCTCTTGTTTGGTACATTTCTCAACTCAGTCCTTAAATGTCTGGCTAATGAAAACCATTCAAGTTTATTCTTTTTTTTTTTTCCATAACTGACCTTGTATGTCAGTTTATTAATATAGGCACACAGTAATTTTATATATTCATACATTTTAGCCCTGGCCAGTCTAGCCCAGCAATTAGAGTGTCTGCCTGAGCCCCGAGGGGTCATGGATTCAGTTCCTGGTCAAGGGCATGTATCTGGTTTCAGGTTCACTCCCCACCTCCTGTCCAGGCAAGTGCAGGAGGCTACCAATCAATGTGTCTCCCTCACATCGATGCTTCTCTCTTTCTCTCTCTCTTTTTTTTCTCTCTCCCCCTCCTCCCCACTTCCACTCTCTCTAAAAAATCAATGGGAAAAATATCCATTGGTGAGAATTAACCCCCAAAAAATCATACTTTTTTGTTGTTGTTTTTGTTAATCCTCACCTGAGGATATTTTTCCATTGATTTGATTTTTTTTTTTTTTTTTTTTTTTTTTTTTTTTAGGGAAAGTGGAAGAGAGAGGGAAAGACAGAGAGAAACATTGATGTGAGAGAAGCACATCAATTGCTTGTCTCCTGCACAAGCCCTGATCATTTTAATTTTTCAATAAAACTCATAGATTCTTTGCCCAACCAGTGTGACTCAGTGGTTGAGCATCAACCCATGAACCAAGAGTTCACTGGTTCAATTCCTGGTCAGGGCACATGCCCAGATTATGGACTCGATCCTCATCCAGTAGGGGGTATATAGGAGACAGCCGATAGATGATATTTCTCTCATTGATATTTACATCTCTCTATCCCTCTCTCTTCCTCTGTCTCTTAAAAAAAATCAATAAACATTTTTTTTAAAAAGATAGATTTTTGTTAAGTCATTTTCCCATTAAATGACATTCTGTATGTCACCTGTTGAGCCATCAGATGCATGAGTAGTGGGTATGTCTGCTCAATTTGATAAGTAGGTGTGTTGAATGTTTGTCTTGATAATTCTTTTGATAGAATCATGTTCCTTAATGTAGTGCATGCTATCTGAAATAATCTTGAAATTCCTTGTGTCTTTTTAAAACCATCTTGCTTGTTTTGTTTCCCTTTCATCACTGTTTCTTTTCTCACCCTTTCTCAAGCTGACTGAATCTTCTGATGAGGTAAAAAACAGCCTTGTCCCTCATAGTTTCTTGTTCCTTCCCCTCCCTCTAACTTTGTAAGATCATTAAGACTATCGACCTCTTTAATAGTTTGGATTTGACATACCTTTCTTGCTGATTCTTGTATAGCGTAGTTTCATATTTCCATTGCCAAAAATATTTTTTTTCCAAATCAAGAAATACAGTGATCAGAGAAATGAAACAACTGTAGTGATCAGAGTTAAAATTAAGACTAATTGAATATGTATTTTATGCAATTTTAATGAGAAAAAATATGCCTTTGATATTGAGAGCTTGGCTTTTGTTGCCATTGCTACATTACTAGACCTCCCTGCTGCCTCATATTAGCTGCCCACAAACAGAACCACTGGCCCCAGTTATAATTCAATCAGTGAACCTTAGAAAGAATTGGAACCCGGCATAAAACACCTTTCTGGCCTCTGAGAGAACCAGCTCCATTACTGGACTGAGGACGTCAGACTGTCTTGGATCTTTGCTAGAAGAAACACAGAAAGCAGCACATTTTCCCTCTTCATCAGATGTTTGAATATGGCCCCCACTTTTCAAAGCAGATTGCCTGGCAGTCATTATCCCTTCTGTCTCTCTCTCACCAATTTATTTGTAATCTCTGGCTGCTCATGTAATGTTTCAAACTTCTTGTATATATTTTCTGTGTTGTGTTCTTGAATAATCATAACATAGATGACAACATTACTGAATAATGTAAAACATTTTTCTTCGTTTATCATGTTTATTCATCTGTCCTTCATAGTGATCTAAGTTTAGCACCGACTTGATCTTGAATTTAGCATTTGATTCTATTCAAGGCTGCAGCCATGGCTCCACCGGAGGAGGAACAGAAGAGAATGGGCTCCGCGGAGGAGAGAAGGCAGAACTCGGTGTCAGACTTCCCGCCCCCTGCTGGCCGGGAGCTCATCCTGCGCACCACGGTGCCCCGCCCCGCCCCCTACTCCCGGGCACTGCCTCAGCGCATGTACAGTGTTCTCACCAAAGAGGATTTCCGGCTGGCGGGTGCTTTTTCATCAGACACCTCCTTCTTCTAGTTCTTCCCCGGCCCCCCATTGTGGCTTCATTGTGCTGACCCCCTCTGTGGGAAGAGGTGGTGCCGGTCGGAACCTGGAGGCATGAAGAGGGCCTGTCCAGTTGAAGGATCCAGCATCGTACTGGCATCTGAAAGACTGAATGGTGCCAAGGTTGGGCTGGGTAATAGCTTGTGGGGCCCAAGGTCATGGGCTTGAACTGTTGATTTTTTTCCTCAAAGAAATGGCCCTTGGGGTGGGGTTGGGGACCAAAAATGCAGGAGCTCTCTGTGCTCACTCCGGCAAGATTGTGTTCATTTATTCTTTCTGTGACTGTCCCTTAGGCTGTGGCCTTGCATTTATAGTCTGTGAAAATACTTCATATTTTTATTAGTATCAGGTATGCAAAGTAGAGGATCTGTTAACTCAGATTTCTGGGTATTTGGGAGGTAGAATCTATTCCCAGAATCTGTGTTTTTAATATATTAAATGACATTCTGTTTATTCAATCACCTGGTCACCATTTTTATTATAGTAATTAACTTTTGATGAGTATTTTGAATACTCATAGGAGAAATCCTAGAGTTTCACATAGTTTATGTGTGTTTCTGTATATGACCTAAATGTATTCCTTCTGATAAAACTATATTAAATGTCACTGCAAATTAGTTTGATACCTACTAGTATCTTGTAAGGCTTCTCTTGTTTTGTTTTGAGTGCCATGTAAAAGATAGCCTGCAAATTATTGTTCTCTCCTTCCCTTGTTGTTCAGGATGCATTCCTTGTGTGTGGTTGCTGGTTGGATACCATATTTAATGAAGTATAATAAAAATATAGTCTTGGTACATAGAGACTATCATGCAGTTAGTATAATTTGGTATATATGCTGATATAATGAATAGAAGATTATTTCAGTGAACTATTTTACTTTTGTATTTTAGTTAAAATGAAAATAATTGATGAGGAGTGGGACTAGCATAAGGATATCCACAGAGTACTTCTAGTTGTCTGATGATCAAGATTTATTATGTCTGTGTTGCTATATGGCCTTTGTTCAATAATCTTAAATCTATTTTTAGGCCTAAAGTTCTCACTTTAATCCAAAGTAAAAAATGCTTATAATGAAGCATAGGCCTTGCTGTGAAACTTTAAATAATTAATAGATCTGTGTAGACCTGTTATATTATTTTTGTAAAAAAAAAAAAAAAAAAAAGTGTGTGTGTACATATTTAAGAGTGTGTGTGTGTGTGTGTGTGTGTGTGTGTGTGTGTGTGTGAAGGAGGGAGGCCGGTCAATCACTGCCGGCCTTAACAGACTCTTCTCTGAGATGTGGCTGGTTATGAAGCTTGGGTGTGGCAGGGTGCGCCACAGACACACAGTGAAGACCGAGTCTGTCTGCTTTCCGATGGAGTGTTAAAGAGAAAGACACATTTTACAGAGAGGCTGGACTTCAAAACGGCATTGTGAGCCTAATAAAAGGAAGTGCTGCTCTCTCTGGCTGGTTTGCTCTTTTCTTCCCTCTGGTGTTCTATTCTTACTTCAGTTAATTTTATACTATCTCAGATCTTGCAGGGATCTCAAGAATATTCTTTGTGTCTTTTAAAATGGAACTTATCCCATTTTACTTTTATAGTTAAGTGTTTGTCACAGGTATTTTTAAGAAATAAAAACCAGGTACTGTACTAGGCAACGAAAACAAAACAGAAACTGGAACTCCCTCCTCCTTTCAGTCCCTTCGAGTCACTGGGGAAGGCTGGCCCCACGCTGCGGTAAAGTGGAGAGCACGGCCCACCGGGTATGCACGGAGGCCAGCATGTCCCATGTCGCTGTCGCCCTCGTTCACCGCATGGAGAGGGATCCAGGCGGTAGCAGTGATGCAGGAAGGTGCTGTGGGGGAGTTCCTCACTCACGCTAGGGATTAGGCGAGTGTCTAGATTGAGAGCAGAAGGTGAGTAGGAGCTGCCAGAGAGAGGGAAACTGTGATAAAGTGCTTGCAAAGAACTACAATAATTCCCCCATCCTTATGTGTTTGTCCTAACTTATTGGAATTTCATCACTGCTCCCAACACGTGGAATTCATTTTTCCACCCCTTCAGTCTGGACGTACCCCTGCCTGCCTTTCATCGGTGGACGGTTGGCGAGCGTGACCCAGGCCACGAGCTGAAAGGACTTGCACCCTGGGCCGCCTTCGGTTGGTGATGCCGAAGCTAGCTGGTGCGGGGGGGCGTAGGAAGTGTTATAGGTGAGGAAATAGAGTGAGCCAAACTCAGAAGCAAAAGAAACTGTCTTAAGAGCCAGCATTTCCATTTGTGTGGAGTGTGGAACCCAGCGTGGGAAGAGGTGAACAGGTGAGAGCAGGATGTTCTGTGGAACCTCAGCGAGGAGTTCGGGCTTTACCCTCAAAATGGGTGAGTAGATGAAGAGTTTTAAGCAAGGGTGTGGCAGGGGTTAGATCGTCATTTAGCAGGACAAACGGATTGGGGAGTCTGGGAAAGCGTATGCACGTCCTAGTTCTTGCGCTAAATTGGAAAGGAGCAATTATATGGTCGGTGTTCTTTCCTCTTTTGTGCTTTGTACTGTGCTGCAAAGAGCCTGACGAATGCTCACGGCACCCACGTGGCGTCCTCACGCGGGCCCTCCCACGCCTGTGATTTCCTGTAGCACACAGTAATTCAGGTTTCTCTGCAGGCTGGGATTTTGTAAAGTCCAGTAAGCATTTATATTTATTTTCCATTCAGCAAGTGTTTATTGAGTGCCAACTCTGTCCCAGGCGCTATTCTGGGCAACAAGATCCAGCAGTGAGCAGGACAGATAAAAGACGGTTGTGGACATGACAGGAAAGGACACCAGTGTGAGGGAAGGGCTTTGTGGACGGGGACAGGGAAGGCCTGAGGGGTGACGTCTGCGCAGAGACCTGCCTGGAGTGAGGGCTGCCTCAGGAGTGGCAGGTGATTCCTGAGGGGGTTAGCGAGTGTGAGCCTGAGGCGGGTCAGCTGGGTTTGTTGGAGGCACAGAGAAAGGGCCAGTGTGGTTGGAGTTCCCAAAGGGAAGAGCACGCAGGAAGGAAAGGGACCAGATTACACAAAGCATTAGGATTCTGTCCGCCTGATGGGGAAGGGGAAGCCAGTGGAGAATCGTGGAGGACTGTTGTAACCAGGCGTCCAGTGCGGGGAAGGTCCAGGAAAACCATTCAGGCCCATGTGGGGTGTGGATTTGCTCCTTTCCCTGTCAGGAGTCTGGAGCCCAGTGTTTGGTCCTTTCTGTCCCAGTCCCAGGAGGATCCTCAAGGCCGAGGCTGAGGCCAAGCTGATATGGGAGCACGAGGCTGGGGCTGCGGGAGTGACAGGGCCTGGCAGGCCGTGCTCCCTGACCGCGAACACTGCCTTCTCCGGGGCCAGTGCCGCCACTGCCCCGCACCACCTGGGAGCCAGCCCTCCAGGCTCCTGCTTCTGGACCAGCTCGTGTGGCTGCCTCTTCCCCTGAACCCCTAGGCCCGGGATGCCCGAGACCACATGGCTGTGCCCGCTCATTCTAGGAGTCCCTGAGCCCAGACCTCTCCCAGGCACCCACCCTGGGGAATGGCTGAGCCTGACCCTCCCCATGGGAGCTGGGAGGGGTCTGTGCCTCTCAGGCACCATGGGGAGGGGACAGGAAGGGGATACTGGGGGAGGGCGCAGCCTGGCCGGTCCCACAGCCCCCAGGGGCCTGACCCTGGCTGGCCCAGGCTGCAGAGAGGACTTGCCGGGCTCTGGCCCAGGCACTGCCTCGGTTTATGTCCACAGAGCACAGTGCTGTGCTGTGGCAGGGCAGCCAGAAGGTTCTAGAATTCTCTCTTCTGAGGTCACAGAGACACTCCCAAGGGAACGGGGCGGGTCCCTCAGATTGCAGAACCCCACCACAGGAGTGGACTCTCATTCTGCGCATCGGTGACGATGAAGAAGAAGCAGTCCTTCTGTTTTCCTGGGGTCTCCAGACCCCCCTCTCCCATCCCCTTCTCCCCGACCTCCTCCCCCTCTTCTGCTTCCCTCCACCCCGGCCCACGGCAGGCCCCTGCCCTGGGCCCCCGGCCTGGCCCTCGGGCTGCTCCCCGACCCTGCCCTCCAGCTGCTCCCCGACCCTGCCCTCCGGCTGCTCCCCGACCTGGCCCTCGGGCTGCTCCCCGACCCTGCCCTCCGGCTGCTCCCCGGCCTGGCCCAGCCAGGTTCCCAGCCCTCACCAACGGGCTCCGTCCTCTCCTGGGGGCCTGCAAAGGCGGCACTCAGCACAGGTTCCCAGGGATCCCCTGCTCCCCCTGCCCCGCCAATCCCCCGTCCCCTCTCTCCATCCACCCTGTCCGCCTGGCCTCTCTCTCTTCCTTTGCCCCGCACCCCCCTTCCGGTCCTCCTCGGGCCTCCAGCCACCTGGACAGGCGGCTCATCGGCCCCTCCAATCCTGCCCGGTCCGCACTCCCCGCCATAGCCCCTCCCTTGGGCTACCCTGGCAGCTGTGCCAGGGGCCAGGACCCCCTGCCTTTGGGCACTCAAACCTTGCAAAGCTTGGAGAGCGGGGCCCCTTCCGGGCACCAGGCCCCCGCTGGGCTCAGGCAGCAGCAGGCGGCAGGCAGCAGCCACAGGTAATCCTGGTGACACCCCCCCCCCCCCCCCCCGACGGCTGGCTCCACTGTGAGGTCTTAGCCGTGTGGCCGCCGGGCCCATGTCAGCGGGTGGAGGCCAGGCCTCAGGCTGAAGAAATGGAACAAGCTCCGTGCGTCCACTCCTGGGCCCTCCAGGCTCTCAGAGCTGCCATTATTGGGGGGCGGGGGGGGGGACAGGGAGGACTGGACAGACTCTGGGCACCTTTCTCTGCGGCTACTTCCCCTCCATGTGGCCTCACACAGTCCCTCATTCAGAGCAGTGAGTGCCCTGTGCCTGGTACAAACCACACTCCTCAAACCAGCCTCCCCAGGAGACAGTGACTGGGGGTCCCCCAGGCAGAGCACAGGCTGCCAGGCCGGGGAGCGTGGCCTGGCGGTAAGGTGGAGCCCT